GGTCTGACTGCACAATAAATGTGACATGCTTGAATCATCCCCAAACCACCACTCCCCTCCATCTGTGGAAAAACTGTCTTCCATGGACAGTTTTGGTGCCTGGTGCCAAAAAGTTTGGGGACAGTTGCTTTATAAGTCTTTTACAATAAATTGGTAAATATAAAATGATTGAGTTAATAGTTTTCTCAATAAGAAGATAAGCATATCAATTATGTATGCATCTGAACTAACAAATATGATAACATGGGGGAAATATGTTGTTGAAAACATCCCATTTTAAGAGTAGGTTTAGTTAGCCATGTAAATTGAAAATCTGGAGCCACCAAGATCATCACTCATCAACAAATATGCACTATGTACCAGGCACTGTATATGTGATAGTGAATAAAACAGAGGTAGTCCTTGACCTCAGGCAGCTCACAACCTGGTAGAGACAAATATATATGTAAATAATATAAACATATACATGCTATGAGGAAAACAAACAGCAGGTGGTAATAAAGAATTAGAGTGGGAGTAGACGATAGAGGGCTCCTCAGAGAGGGTGAACAGCTTAATAAAAGACATTTAAGCTAAGACTCCAAGGATGAGAAGAGCCAGTCACGTAAACAGAAGGGGAACAGCACCGCCAGCAGGGACATAAGACCCTAAAGGGCGGTCACGTGCTGGGATGCCAGCTTCAGGGCAATACAGTTACTACAGCACATCCTCCAACCTTTGAGTTTTCAACTTTTGCTATTGTTTCTATCATCACTTCTCCTTTTCTGGTGATACGTATTTTAAATGTCTTGGCTAAATTAAATGACGGCATGAGCTCTGGGGAATGTAAGGCTGCCCATTTCCAAATAATCCTAAATTCCTTTCAGTCCTTATGACTAATAAGTTCATCTTGAAGTGACAACTACATCCCAATTAGGAAAGAGTGTTTTTCTATATGTGCTTAATTTTTCGATTTAGAGGCCTCCTGATTGCTAATCAGCATGTTATGTGATTACCTCAACAAGTACTTATAGAATGTTATTTTGTCACTGGAAACATGCACTGCTGCTTTCTGAACTCTAGGCTGCTGCAGTGTCTAGGGAAAGTAAATGTACCTAAAGCAGTCCCTAACCAGTAGACATTCTCAGATCTACAGCTGGAGCTACACATTCTGAGAGTGGGTAACACTGGAAAAAGCCCTGGATCAGATAGTAGAGGATGTAGGCTTTAGCCCCAGGTCTGTCACTTTGTTATGCAAATTTGGATAAATTGTTTACTTTTTCTTTCCATATTGGTAAAGTGGGAATACCTAGAAGTTGCATCATACACAAATTCAACTATATTATGCTTGGCAAAAAACTTAAAAGAAAAATATCAGTATAAATAGTAGTCACTGAGCATATGTCTTGGGATGAGCATGATCTAGAAATCACAAACCTGTTGTTACATCAATCAGTCTCAATTCTCATATCCCTTTCACTGTGAATCTTGCTCTGCTATATGATTTTAATGCTTAAAGATTTATATTTGTTTAGGACAAAGTCCCTACACATAACCTACCTGCTTCATCTATATGCATACATACACACTCTTTATTTATTTATTTATTTATTTCAGGACTCGAAGAAACAATCATTCAGGTGATGTGATTTATCTCATATTCTTAGAGTTAAATAGGGCTATGACACCACTCACTATATCATCCTGGCACAGAGAACACATATGTCAAAATAGATGAAACCCAGCTGTGCTACTGGCTAAGGTATACATATATTTACATATATGGAAAATGATGTATGAACAGTCATTCATTACATACTGCCTTTTTTTTTTTTTTTTTTTTGAGACAGAGTCTCACTCTGTTGCCCAGGCTAGAGTGCCATGGCATCAGCCTAGCTCACAGCAACCTCAAACTCCTGGGCTCAAGCGATCCTTCTAACCTCAGCCTCCAAAGTAGCTGGAACTACAGGCACATGCCATTGTGCCTGGCTAATTTTTTTCTGTTTTTAGTTGTTTGGCTAATTTCTTTCTATTTATGGTAGAGACGAGGTCTCGCTCTTGCTCAGGCTGGTCTTGAACTCCTGAGCTCAAGCAATCCTCCCGCCTCAGCCTCCCAGAGTGCTAGAATTACAGGTGTGAGCCACCACACCCAGCCCATAATACTTTTAATAAAGATCTGCAAAAAACCCAAAAAACCCTAAATGTCCAAAGGGAGAGAGCTGATCAAATGATATGTTATGCAACAGAATATTATGCAGCCATAAAAAGAATGAGGAAATACCTCACATAATAATTTAGAACTTCTAAGTGAACAAATAAGGTATATAAGTAGTATTCATAGTATGTACCATTTATTTTAAAAATGAAAAAAATAAAATATATACAGTACTTATTTGCTTGCATATGCATAAAACTATTTCTGGAAAAATATACAAGAAACTGTTAGCACTGGCTGCTTCCTAGGCAGGGAACCGGGTGGCTGAGGAACAGGTACGGAAGGCAGACTTTTTGCTGTGGATCCTTTTGTACCTTTTGAATTTTCAACTATGTGAATGTATTATCTACAAACAAAATGACAAATTTAGATCAGCAAGATAGAAGTCTTAGATGAAATGGGATCATGTCCTTACTGAGAAACATTTTAAACAGCAGGTGGTAGTTCTAAAAGTAAATATCTGGAAGTAGAATGTTGAAACTGTAAGAAATCTTCATTAAGAGATCCACCTATTTCAAAGTTCTCACTTTATAGATCTATAAAGCAAGGCCTTGAAAATTAAGTGACTTGTGTAAAGTCATGCAGCAGAAGAGATGGGATTAGATATCAGATATTCCAATATCTACTCTAGGACTTTTTTTTTTGAGACTAGGTCTTGCTCTGCCACCCAAGCTGGAGTGCAGTGGTGTGATCACAGTTCACTTGTAGCCCTTAATTTCTGGGCTCAGGTGATCCTCCTGCTTTAGCCACTTGAGTAGCTGGTCTACAGGGCTCATGCCACTGCACCTGGCTAATTTTCAAAAAATATTTTGTAGATCCGAGGTCTCGCTATGTTGCCTAAGCTGGTCTTGAACTCTTGACCTCAAGGGATCCTTCTGTCTCCTGGCTTCCCAAAGTGCTGGGATTACAGGTGTGATCCACTGCACCCAGCCTCTAGGACTCTTCATCATACCACCTTCTCATTTTGTGTGGGCAAAGCAAAACAGAGCCAAATAAGTTTGGGCTACATTATGAGTTTTTATTGTTCTACCTAAATTTTAGAGTCTAAAGTAAAAACCAACCTTAAGCCCTGGGACTATTAATTTCTTGTTTGGATCAACACTACATGGCTACACTTAAAAATAAGCTGTGCATATTTCTGTCATTGCACTTATACAGCATGACAGATCTATTTTTTTCCATCCTAACAACTGAATTTACTGAGGGGAAGAACTAAAATGTTTTAAGTTATTTTAATTTTTTAAATATACAAATGCCTAGCGTAAGTGTGCTGCCAAAAATATTAATATAGGTTCACAATTCCTTAACTAACACTCAAGGGTTGGATATGCTTTAGAAATAAGAATTTCTTAGAATTTAAAAATGTTACAAGGTACATATACCATTATATAACACCCCATATAACAGTGGCCAAGGGCAGCACCCCATAATCACACATTTTAATATAGTTTCAGCAAAACATATGGGATAAAGACTATATATAGCTTCTCCTAGTTCAGGTCGTATTTTGTTGCCAAGCTTAAGAAGTTTTTGGTTTCAGAGCTTTCTGAATGTTAAGATTTAGATAATAGTTACAGACTGTATTCACATGGGTGCTGCTGCTAGAAAGTATGGTTAGTCACTTCAACTCTGATCTTTTTGATAAGATCAGAACACAAAATTCTAGCAGGCAGCTTTTATATCCCAGGTTTGGATCCATCATTAGTAGAGAAAATGAGAAAAAAATGAAAATCCGAATTGTACAGTATTGAACTCCTATTGTACCTGTTCATTAGTTATAAATTAAAAAAAAAAAAGCTTCTCTTGATTAAATCATGTGTTTATAATTGGAAATGGGTAAACAAAACTTCTGTCCCATACTGCTGCCAAGGGGATGGAGGTAATCTTTTAATCGCACTAGAAGGTAACTATTGCACTCGCTTTGGGACCAGTGTACACAGAGGCATCCCAAATATATTAGTAAGGAATAAGCAGCAATTTTCTCAACTTGGGACCATTACTCTATGAAGGAGAGGGGAGTTTTCTAGTCAAACTTTCCTGATCTCCCGTATCAGAATTCTTTCCTTTTAAGACTTTTCCTACCTACAAGGAGTCAAAACACAACAAACCCTAAAATCTTTTCCTTTCTCTCTATAACCCAAATCCCACCTCCATTTTGTTTCTGTCACTAACATACTTTTTTTTACTGGCTAAAAATAAAATTTATACTAAAAGACTATAAATCAACTTTGCAAAAGATGATGTTTGGTTTTTTATGATATAATTTAGTTCAGTGATAATGTTCTGCAATCTTAAAAATTTAGATAAAATTTTTTAACTGAATCAATTGTTTTGTTCAATTTATGGGTTAATATTCATGAGGTGTTTATTACAAATAGCATATTCCATTCTAAAAATGGAAATAGTAATAGTGACCAAGAGAAAACCCTCTGAGTTTTCACTATTTGAGGAAATATTTTCTCAAACTTTCATCACAATTCATAAAAAAAGAACACCTAATTAGCTAGATCTTAAACAAATATACCAGTACATTAACAATCTAGTAAAACAAAAAAACATAAACAAAAACCAACCCGTCTATTTTTATATGGAGAAAAAACAACACTCTTGTATTTCTTGGCCACCTGCATTTATAAGTACCAAAAACTAAAATCCATTTTACTAAAGGAATTTCTTCCTACACGATACTTGATTCCTCCATACTACCTCATCAAAATCATCAGCACTACTCCAGAATATAATCATTTAGTTTGAGACCACAAAAAAACTCCACAGTCCAAAATGCCAAGCACGGTTATTACTCTGTGAATAAATGGTTAGGAACTACGAATTGTTATCCTTAGGATGCAGAACCAACCGAGCGAAAGGACTTCTGGAATATGCTGCCCCAAGATGCAGAATGCAGCTGCAAAAATAGCATTCGCGGTCACGATGTCCCTTAAACCACATGACCTTCCTACGAAAGCAGAGCCTTAAACTTATAAACTAAATGAGAACTCCCCCTTTTTCTGAAGTTAACACAAGGCAGGGCAGCTGAAATCAGCGCAGCAGGGGCAGATCCGCCGCTGACTCCTCAGGATGGACCATGGACAGCAAAGTCCCTGTGCTTTCGCTACACCCCTTACCGTTAGAAGATCTGGGAGGGAGGAAAGGAGGAGAAACACCCCAGAATCCTGGCAGAAAAGCCCCTGGCCCCGAAGGTGGGGTTTAGGGAGACTGGGAGGGGCAGCTCCGTGTGTGGTGACCCTTTGAGAACACGCACTCTGTGGCAGCATCGGCTCTACCGAGGGTTTGGAAATGCGGACTATGGGCGCCTGGCGCGGCCCGACCGAGGAGGCCACGCTGCCGGAGAGCCTCCATGGCACCCCCGCGGCGTCGGGAGCCCATCCTTCTCCCACCCCCGGGTCACCGCGGGCCGCTCGGCTCCCGACCACGACTTGCGCGGGCCAGAGCGCAGCGACACGCACGCCGATCTCTTTCCTCAGCGTAATCCCTCCGCAGCCGGCCGCGCACTAGTTTTAATCACGCCCCACCCCCTGGCCGCCGGCGTCACCTCCGCCACTCGCACGCTTTCCAGCAGCTTCCAGAAACGTCGCCTCCCCAAACCCAGCCACTCATACATGGCGGGCTCTGCAGCCACCCGCCCCGCCCCTACTCGTCGCCGCAGTTGAAACTGCGGCTGCGGCTGCGGAGCGGACAGCCACGCCTCTGAGGAGCGCAGCCGGAAGTGCTCCGTCCTCGCCTTCCCCGCCACGCCTACGTCCCTTCAGGCCCTGCGTGCAGCAGGAAGGGGGACTCTTTTGCCAAGGGCTCAAGCCGGAAGCCGCTTTCCTAGCGGAGACACGTTGGGGGAGGAGCAGTCGGAGGGTAACGTGAGTTGAACGTTGCGACTTAGGTAGTGTGGCGCTCAAGCTGGACCAGGAGTTTGGACCGACCCGGTACGAAGAAGGGGAGTGCTCGCGGCAGGTAAGGGAGGAGTGGGGGTAGTTCCTTTTGGCTGTCGATATAGGGGAAAGGGACAGCTGGGTGACCCGTGGGGTAGTAGCCCCGCTGAAGGGATGGGCCGGGCTGGGACAAGGCTCGGGTGGGAAGGGTTGGTGATTAAGGTACAGAATTGGAATAACAGATCCATTTGGGCTCAGAGAGGTAAACACTGAAGAGAAACCAGAGTTTGTTTTGTCTCCTAAGGAGTGTGAGGATGGGCAGGGTTAACGGACCCTGCGCCTCCTTTGGCTTCCAAGATTGGGTTTTGAAACTCACCTCTCTTGGCCCTATGTCCATCTCTGATTCAGGACAGCTGAGTTTGGTACCAGACCGGGCTGGGCTGAAAATCGACCCTCTTCTTCGGCTTCCAGTCAGTTGTGGCCTTTTTACAGTTCACGTGCTGAGCCCACCAGGTCTCGGAGGGCAAGATTAAACGGATATAAGGCCCTTCTTCCAACGGCTGTTTGTCTGGGTTTCCCCATTTTGCACAAAGGAGTGTGAATTAATTTGAATTGCAAACCTGTTGGGATTCCCTGGGCCACCTTGATACATTCATTGTTCTGTAAATTGGTCCGTAATGGGCTAGTAATTCACGTTAGGGCTCCTGGAGCGTTAGTGGCCACGGAGGTATGAAAAGGGGATATTAGAAGAAAGGTAAAGGTGCTGGAGGTGAAGTGGTGTTTAGGAAGATAAAACTGTAAGGCTAGGTTGGTCTCACAGTGCCGTGAGCTTTATTTAGGTCATAGTACTATCTTTAGGTCATATTGTGCTCCTTGGACGGACTTGCCTATAATCTGGCTGGAGTAAGTTGTTTTTAAGGTGAGCAGTGACAGGTTCAGACTTGTTTTATAAAGCATTATTTTAACGGTGATATGGAGTGGGCAAGGAATGGGGATTTGAGACATTTCCAAAGAACTGTCCATAGAATTTGGTGATTTTTATTGCGTGAAGAAGAGGGAAATGAAAGAGTAGAGAACGACTTAAATTTTCTAGACTTGTATGTTTGGAAGGATGGAGATGCCAAAATTCAGGTGAGATACAGAAAGTAGGAGCAGGTTGTTTTTGAAGGGTGGAATGGCAGTTACTTAGGGACAAATTAAGTTGTAAGAACCACTCCCGCATTTTGTGTTTAAGACAAAGTAAATTGGATTTAAAAGAAGACCTGGCAAGCCCACTTCTGGTATTTTTTTAAAAATGAGTTTTCGTTTGGGGAGGGGGGGTTCTGTGTGTTCAGGATTTCAACTACCCATCTACCTGCTTTTCCCATTGAAATGCTGGTGGTGGAATCATGATAGCAGATTTGAAGGCTCCTCATGTTTTACCTTTGCAATATAGAGAGACAGAAACAGAGAAACTATCTGAAAAAATTTTCTAGATTCTCTCAGGCAGATGGAAATTTTCATCAAGAACAATTTATTCAAGATACAAAGCCGACCGGTTTCTCTTTCAAGAATACTGCAGGAGGATACAAGGTACCCTGCATATTTTCTACATAGAGTGAAGTAAAAAAATTAGCACTACATAGTAGCTTTAATTTACTGTGTGTGAGGTGCTAAGTTTTTTACCTGCATTATCACATTTACTTCCTAGAAGAAATCAATTTTACAAATAAATTTCTGGACCCAGATCTGCAGGTGCAAAGCCCATACTTTTTTGTGTGTGACAGAGTGTCACTCTGTTGCCTGGGCTAGAGTGCCTTGATGTCAGCTTAGTGCACAGCAACCTCAAACTCCTGGGCTCAAGTGATTCTCCTGCCTCAGCCTCCAGAAGTAGCTGGGACTACAGGCATGCACCACTGTGCCTGGCTAATTTTTTCTATATATTTTTAGTTGGCCAATTAATTTCTTTCCATTTATAGTAGAGACAAGGTCTGGCTCTTGCTCAGGCTGGTTTCGAACTCCTGACCTTGAGTGATCCACTCGCCTCGGCCTCCTAGAGTGCTAGGATTACAGGCATGAGCCACCACTCGGGGCCCAAAACCCATAATTTTAATTGCTCTGGAACTGTAGAAGTTTGACTCTTTCCTACATAGTTCCCTTTTGTGAATATAAGTAAAACTAGCCAAGGGTAAATAAACTATTGTCTGGGGAGCCTAAAAAGCAAAGGTTGGTACCAGTAGGTCTCAGTGAGGTGATTTGACCTCCCAGGGAACATTTGGCAATGTCTGGAGACATTTTTGGCTGTCACATCATGTGAGTAAAGGTCAGTGATCCTGCTAAACATCCCACAATGCATAGGACAGCCTTTTCAAAGAGTTATTTGGTCCAAATGTCTAGTGCTGTAGTTGAGAAACCCTGCCTTTTGGTTATTTCTTCAAGAATAGGAAATTGAGAATCACTGATACTTTTTTAAAAAGCATTTTTGTTTTTGAGATTATTCTTTAGCTTGAAAGGTTTGTGAAGTTTACACAGCTGGAACAGAACAATATAACTAGTTTTTAAACTGAATTCCATGAGCCATGGATTCCCAGGAGATGGTTGACATAGAATCATGGATTCTTAAATTTGGGAAAGACTTATGCCTGGAATAACTTTACAACATTTCGGCTTAGTGATAATTCACGTTTGCCTAAAGGTCCCCTGATCTGGTTCCCCTAAATTGTAAATCCATATTTATTTAAACTGCTCTTGGTTATTTCTTCCTTACGCTGAGGTCCAGTCTCTCATAATTTTAACCCTACTAAATGTGGTTCTTGGGACTACACTGAAAGCAAGCTTTTCACATGTGTAATTTATACAGCGACAGTGTTTATATCTTTATTCTGATATAGATCATTTGCAAATAATATAAAATAGTAGTTTGTTGGCAGCTTTTAAAAAGTAGCATTTTTCCCAGCTGGCGAAGTATTCTTGGTAGTTGGAAACAATAGGAAATATGGAATATATAGTTCATTGATTCTTTTGTCCCTGACAAATAATGGCACTATGAATCTGGGTTTTTTTAAAGTACTTTCTCAGTATAATGCTGGCATATTTGTTTCACATTGTGCATAGACTCTAAAAACTTAGGTTTTCGAACTCTGGTTAATATAGTTTGCTTTAAATAGTAACTACCTCTGCTCCAAGTTTTGTTTAATTTGCTTGCAAATGAGTCTGCTGTCTAAACTGGTTCTGTTGTCAACATCTGCCCTCTGTCCACAAATTTGCTAGATTTGTAAATATTGGTATTGTTTTCACTTAAAAATCATAATTTTAGAATGTTTCTTCTAGGACATATAGCCCTGAAAATAAACTTAATAAATACAAAATAGCACAGTGCTTCTTTAGAGTAAATAGGATTTTTTATTTAATTGTCTATTGACTTTTTTTTTTCCAGGGTTCATTGAAAAATCCTTAGTGATATTGACATGTTTCAAGTGACATAAATTAGCCAATGACTCGGAATGATGGATTCCCCGAAGATTGGAAATGGTTTGCCAGTGATTGGACCAGGGACTGGTATAGGGATATCTTCACTCCACATGGTGGGGTATTTGGGAAAAGTTAGTGAACTTATTTTTTGCCTCGGTGCAAAGTTGTTGTTTTTTTTTCCTCCTATTTTTGAGACTTAAATTCAGTTTTAATGTTACCAGTTAACTTCTAAAAAACTGTGTCTTCCACGGAAATCTTATAGTAATGGCGAAAGATTGCTTTAATGTGTTTACCTCTCTATGTTTTATTGATATGTGAAAGTAGAAATAAAACATAGACCTTGTGGTTTACTATTCTTTGAAAGTATGATACATACATTTTTCCCTGGCAGTTGATGTTACTTTTTTCTTGCAAATAAAATTGATGCTCTTCTCAACATTTAATATTTAAAACTGTAACACATTCTTTTTGGAGTAATAGCTTATTTAAAGCCTTATATGCATTTCTTTTATTTGCCATGCTTAAAATATCTTACCAAGATTCTTCTAGCTGAAAATTATAATTTTTTCTGGTTACCTTTCCATTTAACTTTTTATACTTTTGTATATTCTAGGAATGTCTATATTTTAATTTGCTTTATTTCTCTTGTAGAATTATGATTCAGCTAAAGTTACGTCAGATGGGTATTGTCCTGCTTGTAGAGAGAAGGGAAAGTTAAACGCCTTAAAGACTTACCGAATTAGTTTTCAAGAATCTATCTTTTTGTGTGAGGATCTGCAGGTAAAGTATTACTCTTATATACGTTTTAGCCTTTTGTTTTTTTCTTTATTGTTTAAATTTTTACTAATTTTGTAATTTTTAGTCTGTAGATTTTTAATACATAATCTGGGTTCTAAGTCTGTCTGGTATAGAATTTTAAATAGTTTTTTATTTTTCCAACTAGTTTCTTGAGTCGTTGCATAATGATGTTTATTTTTATGGCCATTTGACTTGTGAGAGGTGAAAATACATGTCAAGATTGATTTTTTTTTTAATTTTAATTTTTTAAAACCTGTGGAATCCTGGTTAGCTATTAGTGTATCATAGTTACTCATCTCTTCAGTTTAATTTTGAGACTTACTGTAATGTACCCAGCAAAGTATTTTGGAACGTGGTTAGTCCAAAAACAATATATATATTTTGAGCTAATATGTACTTAAAGTTTTAAAAGGCTCTAAATATCATTTAAAATTAATTATAGTAGTTTGTACCCACTGGTACAACTTTTATACAGGAGCTCATTAAATTCTGTAATACTCTTATGTTTTGTCTTTGAGAGTTGATGAGACTGTTTTATTCATATTTAGTTCTCAAAACTTTGCAAGGTATGTATTCCCATTTTATGAATAAGAAAATAGATTTAGGGAGTTTAGGAACACAAGATCTTTGTAGAGTGGCAGAGCTGTGATTCAAATGCAGTCTTCTAATTTCAGTTATGTTTATTGCAGCTAACTAGCAGTTTATAAAATCACCTGGAGTGCTTTTAATAAATTTCTGATGGGCCACTCCCCAGAAAGACCAAGTGATTAGAGAGTTAGAGTTAAAACTTTTAGCCTCACCCACCTGCCTCCAGGCAAGGGGCAGGGCTAGAGATCAAGCTCTATAAAAACAAGATTTGGATTTTTTGAGCTTTGAGGTTACTGGGAGGTGTTGTGCCCAGAGGACTTAAAAGCTCTGCACCCCTGCCCACCACCACCCTATACCTTATCCTATCAATCTCTTCATCTGTAACCTTTGTAATATCCTTTAGAATAAACCAAGTAAGTGTTTGAGTTCTGTGTGCCATCCATACAAATTAATTGTATCCGAGGAGGGGACGGTGGGAACCCCAGTTTGTAGCCAGTCGGGTCAGATGTGTACAGGTAGCCTGGACTTGGGATTGGCATCTGGAGTGGAGACAGTCTTGTAGGACTGAACCCTTAACCTGTAGGATATGACAGTATCTCTAGGTAGATAGCATCCAAATTGAATTGAATTATAGGATACCTAGTTGGCGTCCACTGGAGAATTGCTTGGTGTGGGAAAAACCCTCCACACATCTGATCACAGAAGTGTGCTGTGAAGGTAGAATATGTGAAAGTAGTCAGAATCAAAATGGGAAAAACCCTGACAAATAGAGGCACAGAAGGCTATGAAGAGAGGACTCTCACGCCTAAATGCCTGATAAAATTATCGCAAAAGATTATGTAAGAACCTAACTTTACACAAAGGCCATTACAGCCTTACACAAAAAATACTTATGGTAGGACATCTGCTTAGCAATTGCCTGTCCAACCTCCAGGACTGGCATCACCCTTGTTACTAATCCTTGTAGCCAAGGATAATTATCTCAGAACAAGTAATCCTCTTCATTTTTCCTTTAATACCCTTTGTCTTCCTTTACTTCCCTGAATATATACATAGTTTACCATGGTTCACCTTGCAATGCTTTACTCCTGAATAAATATTTTCTTTTAGAGAGCTTCTGTTTCTTACTTAGGTTAACAAACAAAAAGCAAAAAAGTTTTTTTCCCTTCAGACTAGTTGAATGCAATTGCAGCATTCCAGAGAGAGGGGGTAGGGGCAAGAAGGGATGAGGTGTCGTTGGATTCTATGTATTGTATTTCTTGAAGGTAAAGACAACAAGATTTGCTGAAAGATTGGGATAAGGGTTTGGAGAGAGGAAGCAAGGTTGATTCCAAGATTTTTGACCTGAACTCTTAGAGGAATGGAGTTGCCAGTTGATGAATTGAGAAGACTTGGAAGAACAAAATTTGGGGGAAAGACCAAGAGGTCAGGACCAGTTAAGCTTGAGACGTCTAACTAACATCTGTGAGTATGTGGAGTAAACAGATCTATGCATCTCGCATTAGTTAAAGTTTGAGGTTGGAGATATTTGGTTGTCATGAGCATGTAGGTAACTGAGCCCTAAGTATGGATGAAGAAGTCCACAGTCTAAGCCTTGGCACACTCCAGCATTAATAAGCTGGGGAGATGAAGCAGAACCACAGTAGAGTCTGAGAAGTGGACAGTGAGGTAGGAGTAAAACCAGGAAGGAGCATATATTGTCCTGGAAATCAAGGAAGGAAGGGAAGAAGTCATTAGTATTAAATGCTACTGAGAGCTTAGGGAAGTGAGGGCTCAACTCACCCTTGACTGGAGTGCTCTGGGGGTCCTTGGAGACGTTGATGAGAATAGTTGGGATGAAGTAATAGTGATAAAAGCCTGGTGGGAGTTAGAGGGAGGAGAATTGGGAAGTATTGATTGTGGGAGATTGTTTTTAAGTTGGGAAAAACTAAGAGCACATTGTATTCTGGTTGTATCCAGTAGAGAGGAAAAATTAGGGGAAAGTGGCTAGAGGGGCATCCCTGGAGCAGGGGATGGGCTCTGTTGCATAAGGGAAGGAATTAATTTTAGGAGCTTTGACAGTTTGTCCCTAACAGCAGACTATATACAAAGCGTTTTCTAATTAACTACCTCCAAATAAAGTTGTGGAACATTGGAAAGACAAAATAAATTTTACTGATTCTAGATAAAAATTACTTTTTTTCCTCTTTTGAGCAATATATAATATTTCAGAAGAGTTCTTTAGCTAAGGACTGTAAGAACAGAGAAGTTGTCCTCAGGAGATAGGTTTTGGCTATTAAGATTAGGTATATTATATGCATTTTTAGTTTTTGAAGCATTCTTTTTAAGTGATAAGGAAAAATAATCAAGAATTTTAGGTATATAGTTTGCAAATGTTAAAAAAACTGAGTAATTCATTGTTGATCTAATTTTTTAAAAAAATTTTATCAGCAATATGAGCTCATAAAGTGAATTGGTTTACACCAGCAGTCAGCAAACTCTTTTCTATGATGCACAAGCTAGGAATGATTTTTACATTTTTTAAGTGGTTGGAGAAAAAAGGAAGACGGCTCTTTTATAACACAGAAAAATTGTATGAAATTCAGATTTCACTGTTCATAAATGAACACATTAGAACATAGCCATACTCAATCATTTCTTTATTGTCTATGGCTGCTTTTGTACTTCAACAGCAGAATTGAGTAATTGTGACAGAGACTGTATAGCTCACAAATCTAAATATTATCTGGCCTTTTATCAGTAAAGTTACTAACAAAGCAAACTTGAATTAAATTAATTTCTAAAGAGCTCTGTTATACAATTTGGAGTCCACTGTGCTATTAAATTGTATACAGCCCTTTGGAAAAACCCTTTTAATCAGATATTTATATAAAATGTTTCTTGATTGATTTGTATACACCAATATTCAAGACTCTGGTTCAAAATTAGTACCAAATTGAAACTCAAGTGCGTTTTTGAACAGTAGGAAGTTTTAAATTATCCCCCCCCCTTTTTTTTTTTAGGAGTAGTCCATTATTCACTGTTTATTTTGGAGCATTTTATTATTCAGTCTTTTTTTTTTTTTTTTAAACTGGCCGGGCGTGGTGGCTCACACCTGTAATCCTGGCACTCTGGGAGGCTAAGGTGGGCGGATTGCTATAAAAGTGATACATGAAAATAGAAGCCAAAATCAGGCATAAAGAGATAGAGATCTAAAAACATTAATTTATAAAAAGAAAATCAGGACAGGGTCAAATTATATTGTAGATTAGCCCTCTGATGGGAGCACAGATTATGTAAAGAAAAGTCAGTGAAGACATTTGCAAAATGTGAGTGGAAGCCATCCGGGCTACTAAGTTTTGCAGCCCCAGGGCCCCTTATGGTTTTTTATTGTTTTTAATTAAGTAGGGGTGCAGGTAGGGTGTGTACACCATGATCTTGACTGTTTGAGATTGGTGAAGGGTTTTTATTTCTGGATTTGGTGCTTTTTGGGAATCTTAAACAAAATTCTTATTTTAAATTTTTTCTCAGTAATATTTTCCTCCTCAAAATTTAATTTTTAATTTTTTTTTTCTGTGACAGAGTCTCACTCTGTTGCCCAGGTTAGAGTGCCATGGCGTCAGCCTAGCTCACAGCAACCTCAAATTCCTGTGCTCAAGTGATTCTCCTGGCTCAGCATCCCGAGTAGCTGGGACTATAGGCGTGGGCCACAATGCCTGGCTAATTTTTTATATATATATATTTTTTAGTTGTCCAGCTAATTTCTTTCTATTTTTTTAGTAGAGACAGGGTCTCACTCTTGCTCAGCTGGTCTCAAACTCTTGAGTTCAAAGTATCTGCCTGCCTCGGCCTCCCAGAGTGCTAGGATTACAGGCGTGAGCCACCACTCCTGGCCTATTTTTAATTTTTAAGTTGTAAAAAACACAAAATTTATAATCATAACCATTTTTAAGTGGAGAGTTCAGAAGTATTAGGTATATTCATATTGTTGCATAACAGATCTGTAGGACATTTTTTTATCTTAGCAAAACTGAAACTCTATACCCATTTAACAACTATTTTTCATTTTCCTCCTCCATATCCCCTGGCAGCCACCATTCTACTTCTGTTTCTCTGAATCTGACTACTCTAAGTATCTCATGTAAATGGAATCATACAGTATTTATCTTTTTTTGTGACTAGCTTGTTTCACTTAGCATAATGTCCTCAAGGTTCATCATGTTGTAGCATGTAACAGGATTTTCTTCATTTTTAAGGCTGAGTAATACTGAACTGTATTTATACACCACATTTTCTTTATCCATTCACCTGTCTGCAGGTATTTGAGTTGCTTCCAGTTTTGGGGTCTTTGAATAATGCTGTAATGAACATGGGTTTGCAGATATCTCTGTGAGATCCTACTTTCAGTTTTTTTTTAGATATGTTCCTTTTTGCGATACTTTGAATACACAGTTATTGCTATTGGTTTTAAAGTATTCTCAGTTTTCTGACATGATAGAATCTAGGATATAATCTCAAGGAATAAAGTTGATGGTCAGTCAGATTATTAGTTGATGACTATGTAGCTAGAAGAATATGTTATGTATGTTAATAGAAGAATCTAGAACTTTTCTGTTTACACTAAAAAATTTCATAAGTGCAGTATTATGAGTGTAGTGTTCAATTGTATAGAAGAAGCTACATGAGGGGATTTACTGCATTTCATTTATCTGTTGCTGTGAAAGGAATCACCTTGAAACTTAGTGGCTTACAGATGTTAATGGCTTCATTTATTCTCATGATTCTGAGGGTTGACAACACAATTCTTATACTTCACACGATATTGGCTGGGACAACTGAAATGTCCACATGCCTGGCAGTTGATATTAGCTGCTGGCTGGGATTTCTGCTCAAGAAGTCAGCCAGGGGTTTCAGTTCTTTTCCATGAGGGTATCTTTCTATGATGCTCATTGGGCTCTTCATAGCATAAGAGCTGAGACTGAGAAGGAGTGTTCCATAAGGCCTCCAAGAGGACAAGCCCAGTGAGCCAGTGCCCGTCAGGCTTCCATGGGCATAATGTGTGCTAATGTCCCATCAAAGCTAGTCACATGGCCAAGCTGAGTCTATGGGATGGCATGAATTACCAGGAGGTGTAGTTCTTTATTAGGTCACTAGGGACCATCAAGGTAGCAGTCTACCATACTTGTGTAAAAGAGGGCGTATTTTATTATTTCTTTTTTTTTTTTTTTTGAGACAGAGTCTCACTTTGTTGTCCAGGCTAGAGTGAGTGCCGTGGCGTCACCCTAGCTCACAGCAACCTCAAACTCCTGGGCTCAAGTGATCCTCCTGCCTCAGCCTCCCGAGTAGCTGGGACTACAGGCATGCGCCACCATGCCCGGCTAATTTTTTTATATATACCAGTTGGCCAATTAATTTCTTTCTATTTATAGTAGAGACGGGGTCTCGCTCTTGCTCAGGCTGGTTTTGAACTCCTGACCTTGAGCAATCCGCCCGCCTCGGCCTCCCAGAGTGCTAGGATTACAGGCATGAGCCACCGCGCCCAGCCTGTGGTTGTTTCTTATAGCCTATCAGGATAATAGTGGTCATCATAGATTCCATCAAAGTAAAATTTTAAGTGTTTATATTGAAAATCGGAATGAAAAATAAGTCACCCATAATTCTCCAACCCCCCAAAATCTCTCATCACAATAGTTGTGCCTAATTTATAAATTAAACCCGATTATAGTTATGTATGTATAGGTAAAAATATAGTATGTAAAGGGTTCAGTACTACCTGAAGTTTCAAGCATTCACTGGCGATCTTGGAAGGTAATCCCCACAGATAAGGAGGGACAAATAGTACTGAACCTAATATATACTGTTTTCTCCTGTATATGCATACTTAACGATCAAGTTTAGTTAAGATTAATCTGGCTCACCTCCTTGCCATCAATTGGAACATGTTTCTGTTTATGTCTTCCAACCACAAATTTAATACCTTTTCTGTATTAACTAAGCACTTACCATGCATTGTGGCTGTAACTTTTGCAGTTGGAGATGCGACAGCAAAACTAGCATCAATTCTTTTTCCTTCTTCACAATTTTATAGAAAAGAGATTCGTTCTTACTGTAGACCTTAGTAACATCAGCATGTGATTTTTTTTCTTTCCTTATTAAGTCAAGAACTTTCACTTTTTCACTTAAAGGAAGCACTTTACGACTTCTCTTTGGCATATCTGAATTACCAGCATCACTACTATTGCACCTTGAGGCCATTATTAAGTCAAATAATGACTTGAACACAAGTACTGCAATACCTTCATGGTCAATCTGATAATCTAGAAGGCTGCTAAGTGACTCATGGGCGGGGAGTGTAGACAGCATGGATACTCTGGACAAAGGGAGGATTCACTTAATGGATGGAACAGAGCAGGAAGGTGTATGATTTCATTATAGTACTCAGAATGGCATGAAATTTAAAACTTAAGAATTGTTTATTTCTAGAATGTTCCATTTAATATTTTCAGACTGTGGTTGACTTGAGGGTAACTGAAACCACAGAAAGTAAAACCGCAGATGAAGGACTACTGTAGTGTGCCTCATTTAGTTTCTTTTGACCTTTATAAGAAGGATGTCATGCAGCATGTCTTCTGGGACCTTTGTTTTTATTTTTGTAAAGATTTATCTTTGAAGCTGCTCGTACTTCATTGATTTTTATTGCTCCATAATATTTCCATTTGGTAAATAATACCAGTTTGTTTATTCATCCACCTGTCAGTGGTCAATTGGGTTATTTTTTGCCATAATGAATCCTACTGCTATGACCATTCTTGGGCAGGGCTCCTCCTGGGTCATGGTACAAGCATTTCCCTTCAGTGTATACCATATGAATGGAATTGCCAAATCATGTCTGAGTCCACATTTAGAAGATGATGGCAGTTGTCTTCTAAAGTGGTTGTACCAGTTAATACTCCTGTTAACAGTGTGTAAGACATCTTCTGGATCTGTATATTGTTTCTTGATTATTTTCATACTTGTGAGATTTTTGCTTAAATTAAGTGGGGTAAAATGATCTGTGATCTTGATTTGCCTTTCCCAGATTTTAGAGAATTTGTTGGCTCTTCATGTTTATGTTGATCATATTTGTTCTCTCTTCTAGGAAGTGATTCTTTGTGTCTTATCCCTGTTTGTTCTGTTGATTGTCATGTTCTTATTGATTTATATGAGTTTTTGTACATCATTTTTGCTATTTTTATGTCAGATAAATGTTGCTGAATCTTCTCCCAATTTGTGGCTTATGTTTTTACTTTTTAAAAGTTGTCTTAATTTATAATGAAGTATTTAGCTTTCCTTTTGGAGCTAGTAATGTTTGTGGCTTTTAAAAGAAATCTTTCCTGGCCGGGCGCGGTGGCTCACGCCTGTAATCCTAGCACTCTGGGAGGCCGAGGCGGGCGGATTGCTCAAGGTCAGGAGTTCGAAACCAGCCTATTCTAACCAGTTACCGGTCTTGCTCTTGCTCAGGCTGGTTTCGAACTCCTGACCTCGAGCAATCCGCCCACCTCAGCCTCCCAGAGTGCTAGGATTACAGACGTGAGCCACTGCGCCTGGCCCGCCATGTCAAATTAATGCTAAAATCCTATACATATTTTCCATGATACAGAAACTGTAAAGTAAAACTTGAGCTTATTTGAATATTTGTAGTTTTTATTATTTTATTTTTTTCTTTTTAGTGCATCTATCCTTTGGGCTCTAAATCACTTAATAACCTAATTTCTCCTGATTCGGAAGAGTGTCACACTCCGAGTAAGCCTCAAAAAAGAAAGATCTTGGAAACCAGCTGTAAAGATTTACTTCTTTTAGCAAATTCCAAAAAGACTAGAAATCATATTGTTACTGATGGTGAACAAATTTCGAACAGCAAACATAATGGAGAAGTATATGGTGACAGCTCATCAAATCCAATTAGCACAGCTGATTGCTTGGAGCAGAATGAGATTTTGGAAGCTGATATTGTTGATGTGGCTACTGAAAAAGATCGTACTACAATTGATGTCTCTGGAACTGGGGGAATTTCCCCTCAAAACGAAGAATATACATCTGAACTGGAAATGCCATTGGAGAGCAAATTTACATCATTTCAGCAGACTTTGTGTGTCCAGTGGAAAAATGCTTATGCTCTCTGTTGGTTAGATTGTATCCTATCAGCTTTGGTGCACTCAGAAAGACTAAAGAACACTGTGACTGAACTGTGCTCTAAGGAGGAATCTGTATTCTGGCAGCTGTTCACAAAATATAATCAAGCAAACAAGCTTTTGTGTGAGAAGCAATTGGATGGAGTTAAAGGTCGGCACTAATATTTTATTTCTCTTTAATTCTTAAAGATGTTAATGTTGCAGTTTGTCTCACAGCATGTGGGAAAGATGCCATTGGTAGCTTCTGTTTTATGTAGAGATCTGGAAGCAGGGAGCCCAAGGACAGTATCATGAAGCTTGTGGTAACACCAGTTATATTATCACAACTTCCCAAAGGCAATCTTTTTCAAAAACTAAAGGAGAGGCTGTGGTTGTTTCTTGTTTTTTTTTTTTTTGAGACAGAGTCTCGCTTTGTTGCCCAAGCTAGAGTGAGTGCCGTGCGTCAGCCTAGCTGACAGCAACCTCAACCCTCCTGGCTCAGCAATCCTCCGTGCCTCAGCCTCCTGAGTAGCTGACTACAGCATGTGCCACCCGTATGCCGGCTTAATTTTTTCTGGTATATATATTAGTGCCAAGTTAGATTGTTTTATGTGTTGTGTGTTGTAGTTATAGTAGTGATGTAGTCGGGTCGTTGCTGCTTGCTCGGCTGTTTCGGAACTGCGTTGTGTCTTGATCGTTGGAGTGAAGGATTTGTTGTCCTGCTCTCGCGTCCGTGCGTGTTGTCTGTCGGTCGCAGTAGGTGCTGTAGTTGTGTATCAGTGTCGTTTGTGTGCCAGCCGGCGCCCAGGCCTGTAGGTTGTGTTAAGTGTGTTATGGTGTTGAGTTTTTGATATTTTATGTTGTGTATTGTATTCCATGCAAAGTAAAATTTTAAGTGTGTTATATCTGTATTATAGTTCGGTGTATATTGTATTGTATTTGATATTAGGGTCATGCCATTGTAATTTGCGCGCGATTTATTCTTCCTTTCTAGTAGTCGTTGTGCGATCTTGAGAGATAGTGCCTAAGGCTTGTATAAATTAAACCCGTATGTGCGTAGTGGTACGTGTATAGTAAAAATATAGTATGTAAAGGGTCAGTAGGCGTACCCTGAAGTTTCAAGGCATTTCAGCCTGGCGATCGTTGGAAGGCTAGATCCCACAGAGTAAGAGACAACCATAGTACTGAACCGGTAATATATACTGTTTGTCCTGTATATGCATACTTAACGACAGAGTTTAGTTAAGATTAATCTGGCTCACCTCCTTGCCATCAATTGGAACATGTTTCTGTTTAAGTCTTCCAACCACAAATTTAATACTTTTCTGTATTAACTAAGCACTTACCATGCATGTGGCTGTAACTTTTGCAGTTGGAGATGCGACAGGCAGATAGGACTGAGAGGTCAGTCGTGTGGCGTAGTCCGTTGTTCATCAGGGATGGGTGGTAGAGAAAAGAGAGGCGGCGTTTCTTGTAGTGTTATGTTCGTAGTTTCTTGCAGCGATGAGAGTTGGGTGTGAAGAGTGTGTGGCGCGGAGGAAGAGGGCTTCAGCGGCTTTGTGGTTCAGCGTGTAGAGAGAGTTCTTTCGATTGAGGCTGTGTTCGGTGTGGAGTGAGGTGGAGCGAGCAGGCGGAGGGGTGCGGGGCGAGGCTTGAGCCATGGTATTAAGTCCAGAATAAGAGCGGGTGTGGAAGCACAAGTACTGCGAATGAGCCTTCATGGTGCAAGGGTGAGCTTTAATCTAAGAAGCTGCTAGTGAGCTCGATGGCTGTGGGGTAGAAGCATGGAGTACTGCTGGACAGAAAGGAGGATTCGACTTAATGGAGTGGGAAGGCAGGAGCAGGAAGTGTCATGATTTCGATGGTATGTACTCAGAATGCATGGAAATGTGACAGACTAAGAGAGGTGGTTTATGTGTTCGTGAGAATGTTCCATTGTGAGGATATGTTTTCGGACTGTGGTGGTGGCACGTTGAGCGGAACTGAGAACGCACAGAAAGTAAAGGCAGGATGGAAGGAGTAGCGGTGAGTGTGCGCTAGTGTTAGGTTTCGTTTGAGCGTCGTATAAGGAAGGAGTGCTATGCAGCAGTGTCTTCTGGACTGTGGTTCTTATTTTGTAAAGAGATTATCTTTGAAGGGGTGCTGCTCGTACGTTCAGTTGAGGTTGGAGTGGTGCCGAGTCGAAGGTATTGTCCATTTGGTAAGATAATGACGTGTGTTGGTGAGTGTCGAGTCACGCTGGTGCAGGGTCGAATTGGTGGTAGTTTTTGTGTGCCGATAAGTGGAAGCCTTAGGTGGTGCTGGGAGGTGAGCGCAGGTTCGTTGGGCAGGTGGTGCCCGCGCTGGGTTGTTTTTTGAGCTTTTGTGTGTGTTATAGAGCATCTTCCCGTTGCAGTGGTATTCACCATATGGAATGAAGTTAGCCAGAATCGAGTCGTGGAGTCCAGAGTTAGAAGATGGATGCAGTGGTGTTTGTTGCTAGAAGGTGTTGGTGGGTGGATCCGAGTATACTCTGTAACAGTGGTAAGCAGTCTTCTGATCGTGGTATATGTGTTTCTTGAGTTATTTTCAACTTGGAGATTTTTGCTAAATTAAGGGGGGGTAAAATGATCTGTCGAGCTGATTTGCCGGTTCCCAGGAGGTAGAGAAGTTGTTGGCTCGTCGAGTGTGTATGTGGGTGGGATCAGTATTTGTTCGTCTCTTCTTGAGAAGTGATTCCGTTGTGTCTTAGTCGCCTGTGTTGTGCTGGCTTGAGTGGGGTGTCATGTTCTTGGATGGTATATGAGTTTTGTACGCGATCATTTTTGGTAGTTGTCGTGAGCAGGACTAGAAGTTGCTGCAATTCTTCTCCCGAAGTTGTGCTTGACGTGGGGTTGACTTTTTAAAAGAAGGTGTCTTACGTGTTAATGAGAGTAGTGTAGCTTCCTTTGAGCTAGTGAATGTTTGTGGCTTGTAAAAGAGAAGTCGTGTTCCGCGGGCGCGTGGGGCTCAGCGCCGGTGGAGGGTAATCCTAGCACTCGGGCGTGAGCCGAGGCGGCGGCTCAAGGTCAGGAGTTCAAACAGCCTGAGCAAGAGCGAGACCCGCTGTGCTCTACGTATAAAAGAAAGAAATTATTGTGCCTATGCGTGGAAGTGAGGTGATGGGTTGGTATAGGGGTAGGTTTGTTTTTGATATACACGATGATATTGATAGGCGGTAGTCATTAGGTATATAGTTAGCCGCGCGATGTGCAGATGCCTGTAGTCCAGCTACTCGGAGGCTGAGCAGAAGAGTGAGCTGAGTCCAGGTTTTGAGTGTGTAATCTGTGAGAGGCTGACGCCACGGCACTCCACTATAGCTGGCGCAACAAGCGAGGACTCGGTCTCAAAAAAAAAAAAAAATCTTTCCTTTTCCCAAGATCAAAAAGTCATTTATCTGTATTTTCACTGAAAAATGGATAAAGTTTTGCTTTGACTTTGAAATTTTTAATTCAGCTGGAGTTAATATTTATGTATGGTGTGAGGTAAGGATCCTTTTTTTCCCCATTTGCATAGCCAGTCTATTAAACAGCTCTACTTTTTTTTCCTCAATTGATCTGTCATGCCACCTTTGTCACATTAACATTCCATATGTGTGTGCCACTATTCCTTAACTCTCAATTTTGTTCTCTTGGACACTTTTTCTATCCCTGCATCTACACTATTTTAATTATGGCAACTTTTTAAGTCTTGCTAACTTGTTAAGAATCCTTACCTTTATTCAACATATTTGGTGGAAGTATCTTGGTATATTTTCTTTTCTGATCTTGTGCATATATTTTTTTGACAGACATGACATCATCATACCAAGCTTTCTTTAATGTACTAGAAAGCATGACTTTGGTCATGCAGTCTTTTATATGGATCCTGCACGTTGCTCCCCCATTGTTGACCATTCAGGCTGCTGACCAAGTTTGCTATTATGAATTAACACCAGGCAAATATCCATATATCTTTTAAATCCATTGTTGATTAATATCCTAGGAGGGATATTAAAATATGAATATTTAGGGTCTTGCTGAAGGGCTTTTCAAAAGGGTTTTACCAACATATAATTCTGTTTTCATTATGTAGAAGAAAATTTCCAGGCATTCTAACCAGTTACCTTAGGGCATAAATGTTTAAAATAATTTTGTTAGGTAAGAAATATTTTGTTTCAGTTGAGTTCTGTTGAAACTGAATTTTTTTAAATGTGTTACTCATTTGCAACTTGTGCAATTTTAAAAATTGATTTCTCAGACATTTTCGCCTTTGAGTTTTCTCTCTGTTTTCTATAATTACAGGAACCCCAATGTTGAGTAGGTGATAGTTGTTCAGTTTATTGTTGCAGAACAACAACAATTCAATGTTGAAATTAATTTTAATTTTATATTTTTATCTTTTTACACAATAATTGTAGTTTTTTTTTTTGGAAACAGTCTCACTCTGTTACCCTGGCTAGAGTGCCGTGATATAAGCCTAGCTCACAGCAACCTCAAACTCCTGGGCTCAAGGCAATCCTCCTGCCTCAGCCTTCCAGGTAGCTGGGACTACAGGCGTGCACCACCATGCCTAGCTAATTTTTTTCTATATATTTTTAGTTGTCCTGCTAATTTATTTCTTTCTATTTTTTTAGTAGAGACAGGGTCTCACTGTTGCTCAGGCTGGTCTCGAGCTCAATGATCCTCCTACCTCTGCCTCCCAGAGTGCTAGGGTTACAGGTGTGACCTGTAAAAACTAGTTATAGTTTTTATAAGCTGGTTGTTAATTATATTTGAGCTGCACTCCTTTGCACTGTAAATTTTCTTTTTTGCCATGGTTAACAAAATTCTGGTTAATGCCTATTTCATATTACAGGAGGATACACATATTTTCATTAGTGAAATATATAAGCAGCATGTGATCAGGCTGTATGAATTATTTATTTATAAGAGATTTGAGTGAAAAGATCCATTTATGGCTTAAGAGTGACTAGAGTCAGATGATACGGAGGCTTTTATTCAAAATAATTTTCTTATTAATGTTGGATAGTTTCTTGTCATGATAATTCCATTTTGAGGACTTCTACTCTAAAGTGATCAAAAGCATGGGCAGATATTTGCCCAAAGATGTTTATAACAGTGGTATTTATAATAGTGAAAAAAAGAAACAAATGTCTAGCAATGGGGGAGTGATTAATAATGCTGTTTCAGACACAGTGTAATAGCCTGCAGAGTTTTTAATGAAGCAAATATATGTGGACAAAGCAGGATATGGAATGACATAAACACTATGATGCCACTGAAGACCACCCATATCCGTCAGAAAAGACATAGGAGGGAAAAATACCAAATAGTTTGGGAAAGAATCATAATTTCATTAAGATTCCTTATAAATTTATCTGTTCTTATAGCCTAGCTAAGTTCAGTAGAAGTTACACAAAGTAGAATAAACGATGCTGTTTCTAGCATAAGTAATCATAGCACATAAAGAGATAGCTTCGGCTGTTCCAGAGATGTACAATATCTGAAAGGTTAGCTATTTTATTAATACTAGGGCCTGTGATTATTGGATGAAAAAGGCTTTCACTGAGATTTTACCCAGGCAGTAGGTACTAATGCTTTTGTGCTGATAATAAATATTAAGATACAAGATACCACAGAGGAGGAATAATTAAGGAAGTTCTGTGTTTTGCTTTTTGCCTCTTTGTAAAACGTTTTGACTCTGATAAACTTTTGGTCTTATTAATGTCTCAGTTTTCTATGGAAAGATGTGCATTGATGAGGAATTTATAATGTATATATTTTTTAGATGGAGATGGTCAAAAACTTGCTTCAGAAATATATGCGGAGATAGACACCTCTCTGAATGAAGTCAGAGATAAAATTTTTGTTAGACTTCAGCCTCAGCTTAGGTGCGCATTAGGTAAGTAATTGGTGTAACTTAACTGTATTGCTCATCTACCATATAGAAATATGTACATCATAAGGATAGGTATTGTTTGGATGATTATATTCTTGGGAGAGAGAATCTGGGTAGTTTGATGTGGAACCAGTGACTAAATCATCATTGGGCAGAGATACTCCATATAAATATGCAGGCTGGTGTTCTGCCTCTTGAGAGTGGGTGCAGTTCTCAGAACCAGAATACATAGGAAGTACATCATTGGTTCCTTCTCCAGTACTTTCCACATTTTCATCCTTTGCTATGCATTAAAAAGCACCTCGGGAATTTAAAAGTAAATGCCAGTGCTAAGGGCTGATACCAGGTCAATTAAATCAGAATCTCAGGGAGAGGGCTCAGGTAATCAATAAGTTTTAGAAACCGCTACATGATTCTTGTATGTTGCAGGTTTGAGAATCTGTGACCTAAACCAGTCATAGTAATTTTACTTCTAGTAGTGATTGGTTTAGGAATGAACATGTGGTATAGTTTTGGCCAGTGGGATATTAGGAGAAATATACTGATGACTTTTTGGAAGGCTTTCTTACCTTTAAAAGAGGCATAAGGGTGAGACCTGCTTTGTCCTCTGCATTGGTATTTGGCCTGTGGGAGCAGAGTGGAGCAAGGAAGCTAGAAACTCTATCCAGCTCTTTCTAAATTTTTTTAATATTACATAAAGGGGCTACTGGTGATTTGTTTTTTTTGAGAGGGTTGTCTTTTTGTTTTATTTCCTTTTTATCCTTGTAACTCTTCTATTAATATTATAGTAGCAGAATATATACACTCCCTAGTAGTAATTACGCATATTAAGTATCAGTGTCTTCTAGTTTTTCTTTCAACAGATGGCATTTATGTCATTAGACCCAGATACCATATCTGGAAGCAGTGTCTTTGGTACATGTTAGATGGCTTTTGACCTACTTCTTTGTAGACCCCTTAGTTTTTTACTTTTTTTCCCCACATTTTTTTATTGATATGTAATGTACGTTTACTTCAGCTTTCAATGTACATTTACTTCATTTTTCATGGAGTCTTGCATATATAATTTACTCTGTTCTTATAATCTGATTTTCCATATTCCAAATCCTCTGGCATTGCCTCCTTTAGGTCTAAAGAGCTATTCTAATTTGTCATCAGGTAGCATCTCAGCTGGAATGAATTTTCTTTTTATCAGAGTATAATTTACATGCAGTAAAACCCTTCTTTAAATGTATATAGTTGTGTAACCACCACTGTAATCAAGGTATGGGAAAGCTGTATCATCCTAAATATCTTCACCATGCTCCTTTGTAGTCAACCCTTTCCTCAACTCCAACCACTGATATGTTGGGTGCATAATCATTTCAGAGGAGCCTGTTCCATAAGATCCCTAGAGTACAGCGTGAGGGGCTTCCATGTTGCATTGACAGGTATCATTTCCCTCCCAGAGTAACCTAAGATGTTTTGCTCAGGGTCCCTGCTGCAGTTCCCAGTTGAATTAAAAAATGGTTTCTTCTCCAGTCTGAATCAGCACCGTTCTTATCCCTGAGAATTATATTTGGAACAAAGTTTCGTATTTTGCTCCACCCCCTCCTTGGGTCTGGTTTTCTATGTAACAAAGAAGGAATTTTTAAATTATTATTTTGTGTAATCGTAACAATTAAGCAAGCATACAACTCTTTGCGTACAGTAGGGTTCTTGTTTGTGCTACCCATTAAACAGTGATAGGTGCTGTGTTAGAGCCGAAGTTCTTACTAATCTAATCTTTGCCTCAGAGAGCACTTTAAAATTTTACCATCTGTGTGTTGTCATTCTGAATATTAACATGTATTTTAAAGTACTAAAGACAAATGTAGAATCTGTACTGACCCAGAATGTTGATTAAACTGTTAAGTTCAGCTTCTTTATCATTTGATTATTTTTAAAAAACACATTGTAAACTATCCCCTTTGCTCTCCCTCCCTGCAGTTTAAGACATAAAACATTATGAATACAACAGAAGCCCCTTTCTTCCCCAATTCTTCCTTATCTCCCCACAAAGATAACTACTATCTTCAGTTTGGTATTTTCTTTTCCTTGAAGTTTCTACTTATTTATGTAAGTCTGAAGACGGTTTACTCTTTGAGAATTGTGTGCTGGTGTGAGGATGGACAGATAGAGTCTGTCTGGTCTCTATCTAGTCTCCATCTGGAAGCCTCCCCTTGGTTACTTCATAGTTTAACGGAGGTAGTTGTGCAGAAAAGAGGGGAAAGAGGGCTGTCAGTAAGTGGTGCTGGGACAGTGGGTTCCTGATACAGGAGGAATATTGCATCCTTACTTCATACCATGTTCAGAAGGAAACTTAAGCATGTTTAAGACCTAACTGTGAAAAGCAGAGTTGTAAAACACTGGCAGAAAATATAGGTAAATATTTTTATCACTTTAGAATGGGGGAAATTTTCTTAAAGAAAAGATTGATAGATACGATTACACTAAAGTGTAAAACCTTTGGGCAAAGATAGAACAAAGTAATAATATCCAGTATACCTATAAAGAACTCTTCTTATACATCAGTCAAAAAAAGACAACCTAATAAAAAAAAAATGGGAACTTGAATATCTAGATAGCAAAACATCACTGAAAGGTTTGCATCATGGCAAGTGAAGGTATTTTAGGGAAGTATGCAAATCAGATTGGTAGTGGGGAGTTGGGGTTGAGATTCTAGAGGCTAAGAGACCATGTAAATAATCTAGACAGGAAGTTATCAAAATTGAAATTAGGGATTGGTATTATATGTTCTTTAGTAAAATGCTTTATACTTTGTATTCATAGAATTTGTAATCAAAGGAAAAGACCAGACCAATTTATATAAAATTACCTGTAATGGTCTGTAATCATTTAATGTATTTAACAGTGTGTTTTAGCTTTTTCATGATATTGATTGACTGAGAACCTTAATGTATTTTAGACTTGAAGATTTTATGTTGTCATGATGAGATGTAAATTGTTTGCTGTTTTTTCAATTAACATTTAGTTACAATAGAGTGAGCATTTAAAGGCTAATTACAAACTTGTGCTATTACTAGATTTTATGTGTACAGTGTTTGTGTTTTTATTTCTAGATTAGTATTTCTATTTCTAAAAAACATTTGATTTAATGTTTTTGAACAAAAATAGCAGCGGGACTATACCACAAAGGTGACTATTAAAATAGCCTTAATTATTTTAATAGTCTATTAAAATACAATATGCTTGGCCAGTAATACCTGTTGTCTGCCTTGTGGTCCTGCCAAGGTGACCGTTGCTGGCCATGTTCCAGGCAATTGTAGTTCCAGGCTAGTGGGAGAACTGAACCATGAAAGTGAAGCTCTGACCAGGGGAATGAGGGGATAGGACTCATTCTCTCTGGGACCAAATCAGTCAGCATCTAAGCTTGTCTGAGGATTGGAAGGAGAGAAGCCAATTAGAGAATGATTGTAAGAAGAATTTAAATCCTATTTAACTTACTTGCTGATCTCAAAGCTGGAAGCCAGTATTGACCGTTCAGTTTTTGTTTTAATGGCAACAAAATTCAGGTCTTCTCTAGTCTTAAAGTTGTTGAATTGCTAAAAGAAAGGATTAGCTGAAAGGTTGAGAAGAGTGGTAGATGAAGAATGCATAGATTTGAGGCCTGTCGTTTAACCCGTGTGTCATTGTTAGGTCTATCTCAGTGTTCCCTGGTCCTCGGTTCCCAGTGTCAAAAGTGAGTACTGGTACCCAATTGAGCCGATGATGCAATGATCACAAATACAAAGCAATCCCACACAAACAGTTAATTACAGAAAAGAAAGAAACTATACAAAGTGAAAGTAAAGAAGGAAGCTACTACCTAAAGTGAAAACATGTTTCTCACAGAGGAACGGGTCAGAAAGACACTGAGGACTCCCAGGTGGTTTCCTTTTACTGGCCTGGTCTGGGGGCGGGCTTATAGCAGGTATGGCATAGTACCAAATGATTGCTAGGTGTTCTGTGTTTTCCTACAGTCCTTTCCCCTGATTGGTTCCCTCCTTATCCGCCCCTACAAACCACCCTCCTGGCCTATACCCACCACCTACAGATTTGATCCCTACCTAACATTATGTCCTCTCCAAAGGCAGAACAAGAGGATTGGAATAGGAGTGGTGTTTTAATGATTCTGTCCAATTCTGATATTGTTCTACAGTATTTTTTTTAGTATCTATAGCAAACCATTTACAAAATTTTTGTTTTAATGTACTCTAAGGCTATTTATTATAGTTTTAAGGTTTTTTTCTTCCTGAGAAAAGCTAGAAAGATCTGAGAAACCAGTTTGGGTCTTTTTTGGTTTTCGTCTTAAGAGGTTTTCATAAATGTCTTCCAAGAAAAATGAAAGAAACTGAGGTGATAATTAAATTTTTGTGCTGGACATTTTTAGAAAAATGTTTTAACCCCCTGCCATCCAACTGTGAATGACTTACTCTGAAATACTGTCTTCATATATATTCATACTGTAAATATAGTGAGAAAAGACAATAGCTAATTTTGGTTTACTTTTTGCAGCTATTAATTATGAACAATAATTTTTCCTTTTCTTTTTGAAGGTGATATGGAAAGCCCTGTGTTTGCATTTCCCCTGCTCTTAAAGATAGAACCTCACATTGAAAAGCTCTTCCTATATTCTTTTTCTTGGGACTTTGAATGTTCACAGTGTGGACACCAGTATCAAACCAGGTTAGTTTTTTTGTTTTTTAAAATTAATTCATTCTATTGAAAATGACTGTAAGTAATGTAATTTGAGTAAAACTTGCTTCACCTGTAGCACTGCTCTCTCCCAGGTTTCTTCTTCCTTTGACCAAATTTCCTACACATCCTGAAGTTTCTTCACCACTGAGGTTAAAAGAACAAATTTGAGCACAAGAAACTATAATAGCTTGCTTTCTTAAACTGGAAGGGTCAAAACCTCATGGTTTGAGACATTGCTTGTAGGAGTTTTCTTTAAAATTTCTTTAGCGGAAAGTGGAGACAAATGAGAATAGCACCCTCCTCCCCCTCTGGATTTGCTGCTGAGTAAGAGTACCTCTCAGAATTCCCTGCAACTGTGTGTTTTGTTTACTCCTCTATTAGAAACTAGGGTTTTTATTTGTATATTTTAGGTTTTTAGCATCATAGGAACTGTTTTTAGGCACCTAGAGTCTGGCAGCCGTTCTCAGAGGTAATGTAAACTTCCATGTTCTCTTCCTTAGTTCCATGAAGACCAGCCACCACCAGAATCCTCCTGCGTGTCAGTTGTCTCAGCCATCCTTTCTCCTTTTCTCATGTCACTTGGTGAGGATTAGGGAGGCTGTGATTGATGTACATGTTACTTTCAGGCTGTGTGTATAAGGTGTATATGAAACATAAATGAATTCTGTGTTTAGACTTGGTTCCCATCTCTAGGATATCTCATACATGCAGGTATTCAAAAACCTGAAAAAAATTGAAATACTTCTGGTCTCAAGCATTTCGGATAAGAGATATTTAACCTGTACCCACCATGTAAGGAGAGGAATTGGGTTTTAGAAGAAGAGTCAGGGAGGGGAAGTTTTCATCAGACATGATATCCTCACTTTGTCCGTACCTGAGGAAGTTGTTGGCTGGCAGTTAAAAAGGTTACCAACTGGCTCTGTTGGTCATTTATTTAAATTATTACAATAGACATAAATCTTTTCCTCTTTTCTTTAACTCACTAGTAAGTTAGAAAGCTTGGAGTCCAAAGTTATTAAATAAAAACGTGAGAGGAAAATATCACTTAGCTATTCATTGTCTAAATCTGAGATTCTTTTTAGATATTTAGGGAACAATCAGAGAGAGTTCAGTCTGGGAGAATGCTCCAGGGAATGTAGGCAACAAAGTATTTATTTTTTTATCAGTTAAAACTCTTAGAACAGGATGAGAATTAACATTTTACTTAAACCTAAAACTTGCAAGTGAGTATGAGAACAAATATCTGTTTCCAGGTCTTCTGTCGTTGATTTTTATAAATTATCTGATTTTCTTCTCACTCATTGGGGAAGATCTTGGCATCCTCATTTGACACATGTGAACACTGAAGCTTGAAAGAGTTGGATACCCAAGGTGACACACTAGTGAGTGGCAGTCAGGAGTTACACTTTCCTGGTCTCTAAGACTTTTGCTAACTGTGCTATACTCCCTAATCATTACCTGGGATTTTAAATAATATAAATAAGCTTGATGGTTAAAATCAGCTTAATTATAGCTTTTCTAGAATCCACATACATCTTAGTAGTTTGGCAGTTTTTCATTGAGGTGTTATATGTGCCAGAAACTCATTTAGGCATTGGAAATAGTCTTTTTCCTGGCCAAATTCAAACTAGTTAGAGAATACATGAACATAGGCCAGTGACTTAGAAATTAATTTGATCTTTTGGCTGCTTTACGTTATCTTTGAATACAAGAGGATAAGTGCATTTTAGAGGAGTATAGAAAAAGCTGTGAGAGCTTGAGGGAAAGAAGCCACTTTGGTTTGCTTTTATGTTTTTGTTTTTATTTTTTTTAAATCTTCCTTTGTTCTAAAAATGAATGTAGTTATAGAGGAAAAGCTAAAATGAAATGGCATTTCATTAAATATGTTTTAATATGTTATAACTTAAAACTTATTTCAACTTAACCTAAAAGAAGATTATTCCACAAATTCATTTGTTTTTGTGCTAGTGCCTGTTTACGGGCTTCTGCTTGATTTAGGAAGTATATCCTAGAGGCAGTTAAAAAAAACACGGTCTTTGGAGGCAGCCTCCCTGGATTCGCATCTCAAGTCTGTCGTTTATCATCTGATGTATGCCCCGCTCTGTATTTCGGTTTCCTCATCTGTCAAATGGGGTTAAGAATAGCACCTACCTCTTAGAGTTGTTTGGGAAATGAGTGCCTAGCACCATGTCTTGCTGTGCACAAAGTGAGTGCTCAGAAGAAATGTTAGATGTCATGTGGAGCATTAACGCTTATTTGCTGAGATAAACTCCCTTTTATAAACTAGAATATAGAAGCCTTTACTAAACAGTTATCTTTGAGAATTTAGCAGAAATGTAGTTAATGCATTTGTTGATACTTTTATGTTGCTTTGCTTTTAAAATGTTAACTTCACTGAGAACTGATCCATTTTTAACAGCCAGTGATTATCTCACGTAGGATTTGTTAATATGGTTATTGTTTAGAAATGAAGCTTTGTCTCTGGTAATATGTGACTGCTCTTCTAATTAAAAAATGTTTCTATTAAAGTGGATGTAGTTGAGGTTCAGTGTACATCTTTAAAGATCATCTTTTTAGATGGCTATTCATATCAAATAGACTACTGGACAAATTTAGAACTTGCTTTACCTGTGAAAACATAATTCTTTCACAACTGATGCTGTAATTATTTTAAGTATCAAGGAAATTAAGTTGTATTAATATATGTTCTTCATTATATATTTGAAAACACCCCATTTCATTTTTGGTTGTCAATAATGGCTCACCAGATTGAGTTATTTGAGTAAGGGGGGAGCTCTTAATAAATTTGGTAACTGTAGAGCATTAGTTCTTAACTAGGGGCTATTTCGGCCCTGACAGGACATTTGGCAATGTCTAGAGACATTGGTTGCTGCAACTGGGGGCTGTTACTGGCATCTGGTGAGTAAAGGCCAGGGATGATGCTAAACATCCTACAGTGCACAAGACAGTGCCTTGCGACAAAGAATTATCTAGTGCAGAATTGTTGAGAAACCCCGCCTTCAACAGTTTCTTGCTGCATCTCATAGCTGAAAAACTATTGGTTATTAATGTGGGGAGTCTTCACAGAAAGCTTCTTTACTAGAGTTGGAGGAACATTTTTATATTAATATATGATTTGGGGAAATAAGAATGTATGAGTAAACAGTTGAAGGGGGAATACCTTTTATTTTAGACATTGGTTTAAATTAATGTGAATACATTTAACATAAATGATTTTGTTGTGTCTTTGGTTTTTTTTTTATAGGTGTACGAAGAGTCTGGTCACCTTTACAAATGTCATCCCTGAGTGGCACCCACTTAATGCTGCCCATTTTGGTCCATGTAACAGTTGCAACAATAAATCACAAATAAGAAAAATGGTATTAGAAAAGTGAGTTCAGTTTGCCTTATAATTTTTAGAACAAAATGAAGGTGAATTTACATTTTTTTAATGTGTAGAATTGAAAATGATGACTATAGCCTAGCTTTGAGAAATTTGAATTAACATCTATTTGTGAATGGCCTGCTGTCTCTCTGTTTCAGGGACTCTGGCTGATAAGCCCACTGTCCTGGGTGAAATACCACGAAAGCGCTGACTTAGGCTGCTTGTCTAGCTCCACTTTCCTGGTGTTTTCCCTTCTTTTTGCCTTTTTTTCTCCCTTTAAGAGTAAAATTTTTCTGTCCTCTGCCAAGTCACTAGAATTCTGGGATTTTCTTAATCTAAATTTCAAGAACTAAGATAATACAAAAATGAGCAATAGGCTTGTCTGTCTGAATTTCCATCCTCTCTCTGATCTCGGCCTGCTAATTCTTCATGTAAACTTTCTGCTGCCCTTGAGCAGATGTGTTTTCATTATATTTTGCCAGCTTTTCTGTTTGTCCTTAGTGGGGAAGTTGGTCAGAATTACTTTCTCAAGTGTTACCAGAAGCCGCATCTCTTTAAACCCACGGGTCAGCTGTATCTTGGGCAGTTTGTCTCTTGTTAATGCACTCACATGTATACACATCCTCTTTAACGTTTGCTTTCAATCTAACTCTACTGAAATGTTTTGAGGTTTAATTTGATGTGATAAAGAACCAGTGACATTAACCTCTGGTGCCTATGAATGTGCCAGAAACCTCTCAGAATCTTTCCTAAAGGTATAATCTCATTGAAGTAATAAATTCTCAGTTAATGTTACAGTGCCAAAAGGCTTAAAAGGGGGGAAGAAAAAAGGCCTCCTCAAGCCCCAGGCATCTACTTTAAACTTTAAAATTAAGGTAGTATTTACTTTGACATTTGAAAATGCAGTACTTATTTTGCCATTATGCAGCCTGTTGTCCTTTCATGGTGGTTGAGCGCTAGAGTTCTTACACCAACACCCAGGCCCCATCCCTGTTAGCCTGTCTCCATTTTTCCAATGTGATTGCATATTTGGTTAAGTCAGTACTCAGTGTTTGCATTGTTATTAATATACATATATTATTCCCTCTCCAGCCAAGCAGCATATGTGGTTATGTTTCATTTCTTTTATAATTCTTTATTTTTCTTGGAATTATTATTTGCCTTGGGTTTTCACTTTATTATTATTATTTGCCTGTGAGTTTTTTCCAAATGCTTTAAACACTTATTAATAAATATTCAATACTCAAGTGCCTCACAGTTTTCAAATCTTTTCCCTCTCCCCTTTTTTTTTCTAGAAACCTCCTTCCGTTACCTTTTATTCCTTTGCTCCAGGCTTCTAGTCTATGCTGGTACCTGTCTGGGCCTGCTGCGTAAAGGTGTTCTTTATTATATATATGCTTTAGTCACTGTCCCAGTTTTTAGCCCAGGGCCTCACCCCCACATCCCACAGCATCTATTGCTCATAAATATCAAGTCTTTCAGGGGTTCCGTGGGATAGATGAGCTCTTCCTGCTCACAGCACGCCCAGTCTGCAGCACTGTGCCTTCACCTCAGCCATCCTGCTGTGGAGGTGCCCCTTCTCTTGGCTTTCTGTCTTCTGAATAATTATTGACTTCTAGTTGCTCAGGTCTCATTTCTCTTTCTTTGTCCTTTTGGACTAGAACCTTCTTTTCCTTCACTCTTCATTTGATAGCATTTGAGCAGAAGGGCAAAGCATGAAGGAAGAGGAGGATCTTGAACCAGAAGTCTGTAATCTGTCTGGGCTGCCCAGTTTTGAGATCAGAGTGTTGAGGGTACTCTTCACGCCCTGGCCTTGATGACTTCAGGAGGAGGGACAGCAGGGCATGGGGATCTGCCATCCTGTCCTGGACCATGCACCTGCCTGTGGCTTCTTGGTGTATATGATTTCATCCAGCTGTTTATACTCACTTTTCCCCAAGCCCCAGTACTGAAGATAGACTCAAATGTTATTTTGTTTTGTCTGTTAATTGGTTGTATTGCAACATATACTTTTTAATTATACAAGTATATTGCTTTACTTAAATTAAAGATTCATGCTCTAATCTGGAAATGTATCCATTAGGTAAAACAGTTTTTCGGTGGAAGATGTGTTTTGAGTTCCAGTGGGCCAATTTATAAGTGGAATTTATAATTTGGACATTTCATGTATTCTTCAAAAGTAAATTAAACTGGTGTGTGAAATTTCACTTAAATTTTAAATGACAAGATCTTTATATAAGTCCTTTGTGGCTTTTTACTTTGAAATGTTTATAACTTGATTCATTGGTGTCTAATGGAATTTAAGAACAAATTTAACACAGTTTTCAGGGATAAGTTAAAAGTAATTAGGTCCATCATGATATCATGTGTAATTAAATCATACAACATTCCAGAAACTAATAAAGTTTCCTAGACACCTTGTCTCAGATAATCCACATCTCTTAATGTCTCCTCATTAGAAAAAGAGTTCATTGATAATTCAGGTAAATGATACCTTGCTGCCTTTCTTTAAGTTGTTTAGGAATTATATTTGGAGCCTGGTAACATGGAGCACCAAGAACTGAGAATCATATTTAATTGTACTTCACAAACTCTTGAAAGATTGCTGTCACAATCTCCTTTAGGAGTCTGGTTGTATATTATCCTGGGCTGGCATATGAAAAGCTTATTTATTTAAACCTCTAACGATGACTTTTTTTTAAAATAGACAGGATCTCACTCTGTGGCACAGGCTGGAGTGCAGTGACGTAATCATAGCTCACTGCAGCCTCAAACTCCTAGGCTTCAAGCCATCCTCTTGCTTCAGCTTTTCAAGTAGCTCAGACAACAGGTGTGCACCACCACACCTGGCTAATTTTTTTTTTTTTTTTTGTAGAGACGGGGGTCTCACTATGTTGCATGTGCTGATCTCGAATCCTGGCCTCAAGTGATCCTCCCACCTCCATGTCCCAAAGTGCTGGGATTATAGGTGTGAGCCACTGTGTTTGGCCAGCAATAATTTATTAAATAACTATTTGTAAAGGATGGGGGAGTGGTAGGAAGGTAAATACATTTCTGTTTTGTGCTTATAGAGCTTATTAAAGTGTCTAATACAGTGATTTTGAGGCCTTTTTTTTAAAACGTGAAATTGCCTATGAAATTTTGGATTAAATACTGATATATAAAATAGTTAGAATTTTGTTTCTTGATTTAAATCTTCATTGTTTGACAGAAAATGCTTTATTATGTATTTATAAGATCCTTGAACTACCTCCAAAGAACGGTTTGTAGATCTTATGGTTGAATTTTTCTAGAGATGCATTTTCTTGTTATATAATGTGAACTAATGCTAATGATTTGAATTATAGCTGATTTTGTTCATATTTTCTTTTTCATCATAGTCTGAAATAATTCAATGATACATCTAAAATGTAATATGATTTTAAAATTACATTTGTGGAACTTTTTCTGCCTAAAGCATACATTATTACAGTTCAGACGTACATATATATGCATGTTGTTAAATTTGCATTTTCTAAAATAAGATTTATTACATTAGATGGGATGAAAATCAAAAACTTGTACTCCAGATCATTAGCACAAGACTGTGGCTGCGCTTTGTGGGACAGGGACTGTTCTCTGCAGTATCAGGAGTTAGCACAATACCTGGTGCTTGCTTTCTCTCTTTCTATTTTCTTTTCTTTTTTTTTCTGAGGTAGATCTTTATAATAGGAGTTTAACCCCAAGTTAGGTGAGTGCAAATGGGTCTTAGCTGGAAATCTCTTGTTCACTCTTGGTTTCAGTTCTGTTAATTCGTTCCATCCCATTTTCTTATGGTTGAAACAGACACTAATTTGCTCTCCTCCCCTCTGAGCATCATCTTTGACTGACACTCCAAGCATTATGGGTAGGAAAGGGCCTGAGAATAAAACCTAGGGGTAAAGTTCTACCCTCACTTAAGAGGCTGGAAATGAGATGAGCTGGAATTGTGGGGAGCAGAGTACTGTGACTTCTAGGGGACACCAGAGTCTAGGGGAACCAAAAAGGAAAATGAGGCTGGGCTCGGTGGCTAATGCCTGTAATCCTAGCACTCTGGGAGGCCGAGGCGGGCGGATTGCTCGAGCTCAGGAGTTCGAAACCAGCCTGAGCAAGAGCAAGACCCGTCTCTACCATAAATAGGAAGAAATTAATGGCCAACTGATATATATAGAAAAATTAGCCGGCAGTGTGGCGCATGCCTGTAGTCCCAGCTACTTGGAAGGCTGAGGCAGTAGGATTGCTTGAGCCCAGGAGTTTGAGGATGCTGTGAGCTAGGCTGATGCCACAGCACTCACTCTAGCCTGGGCAACAAAGTGAGACTCTGTCTCAAAAAAAAAAAGGAAAATGAACAAGAAAAGGGGGAAGCATATTATTTGATTGACTCCAAGATGCCATTGTTTATAAGTTGTATCTTTTTCTTTCTCTCCTGACCTGCTTTCCTGCTGGGAGACTCTGCCCCACTCCACCCTCCCTTGTGCCTCCCATGATTTCCTGAATGCCATAAGCTTATTTTTTAACCTTTTTGTCCTTGAAAAGCACCACCCTACTGACCCAGAATGTGGACTCCTCCTTCTGTTCACTCTGACCATCCTACTTTCCTGAGTTAACCACCCTTATTTCCCTCTAAAAACTCTAAAAATCAGCAGTAATAGGGGGCCTTCCAGCTCCCTTAACGCCCCTTTTCTACCTTGAACTCTCCAAAATAACTAGCAAGGCTGAGAAAAGAGTGGAAATGCCTTACTTCTGAGCAAGTGATGTCTGGCAAGTGGGTCTGGCACTGTCTTATTAAATTCAACTGCCCCTGGGTTCTGAGGGCCACTTCTGGTAACTTAGGCTCTGGGTTAGGGATGGCTTATGGTGTAAGGGGGTAATTACTATCTTGGCCCCCACCCAGCACACACACCCAGGTTCTAGGAATCCCAGTCTTAACCTGGGGATAAACTCCAAACGCACATAAACAATAAACAGCCTCCTCACAGGTGTGCCGAGAGCCCACCCAGCTTTATCACTCTTTCCCCTTGCCCCCGTTGCCAGTAGCCCCACAGGGGAGTGGGGGGTGGAAGAGCAGGCAGGTGCTCACTCCACTCCTTGCACCCAGGCCCAGCCTGGTACTGTTTTTTAAATGTACCATTAAGAAAGAAATGCTCCTATTTAACTGCCATCAACAATAAGGTGCACCCTAACCTCAGAAATGTTAAAATAGCAGGGGAAAAATTGAAATATATTGGCATTTGCAACTTACAAAGTTTCATAGTTATAGAGAGTAGTATGGAGGACTTTCCGAGAGTTTTGCCTCCATGTGGGGGTGAAATGATAGTAAAACTCTAAATAATGATTCTGTTCTGCATCATTTCACTATCAAGTTCTGGGTAATAGAAGCTAGTGTAATATTAAGAGGATGTTTATAAATTTAAATAATTGCTCTGATTGTTGTTGGCCCTTTTTTTGCTGGATAAGAATCAAATTTCTACCCTACGTAGATCGCAAAGTAGGCTTTGGAGGTTTCTGACAAGTCATTTCTTGTTATCTAAGGGACTTCACTTGTATTCAACTAGCAGGGGTCCTCAAACTACAGGCCCCGCGGGCCACATGCGGCCCGCCAAGGACATTTATCTGGCCTGCCGGGTGTTTTTGCTGCTGCTGTCTGGCCTGCTTAGCAGCCAACTGGTCCGGGGCCCACAGTGCGCATGTGTGGAATGTGCGCCGCACTCTCCAATGGTCTGAGAGACAGTGACCTGGCCCCTGTTTAAAAAGTTTGAGGACCCTGAACCTAGAGTTTGAGTATACTACATCCAAGGAAGTACGCCAAGTGTGTGTGGGTTTTGGTTTTGGTGGTTTTTAGTTTTATTAACTTGCAAAAGAATAGAAGGTTTGGGACATACACAAAGCATAAAAATGTTTTATGTGCATTATTTTATCATTAATGTATATCTTAAAACATTGTAACTAGTGAAATTTGGTAGTCTAGGGATCAAAAAGAGATTGTTGTCGTAACTAGCTTCAGAAGATACCTTGAAAGGTATTATATGAGACCAATGGAACTAAATATTAGTAATTAAAGAGTCAGGCAGGAACCAAAACCTGCAAATTCAGCTGTGAGAATACATCTCAAGTTTTACTGTGGATCACTGATTCAAAGATGTACACTTCACATTTTAACATATCTGAAATGGGAATATATCTAGGAATTGATGGCATGGTATAGTTTTTAATTGGCAGTATATTTCCATGGTGGCTTATTTTACAATCAGTGACATCTTAGATTCCTTGGTATAGGTATGATTTTTTTTTTTTAATGGCAGAGTTTAGTGTTATAGACAGTTTGTAGGACCTTCTGTTTATAGATACTTATATTTTGAGGACTTGATTATTCTGTAACAAAATGATTGACAAGGAGTAATTTATAGATTATCCCTTGTCGGTCTGAATGCATTTTGGACATTGATTCAAGTTCATTTCAGCTGAATAAATTTTGATAAAGTAAGTTTTGACAGCTGTTTAAATATTGGGAAAAGGGGTATTCAACATTTTTCTTAAATCCTGAGAGCATTGTTCAATTTAGCTATTTAAGACTGTGTTGCTGTAATGATTAAATGTATTTTTGATATTATGGATGTCTTCAAGTTTCTAGTAAATTTTTTTTTTATTTTAGCGTATTATGGGGGTACAAGTGTTAAGGTTACTTATATTGCCCATGCCCCCCTAATTTCTAGTAAATTGACCAGCATGTTGTATTTTTTTCTCTACTTAAGTACAAATTAAACATTTTCTAAGTAGCAATTTTAATTTGATAGACCTCTCAACTTCCTGATATAATTGAGAAATAGGCCAAATTAATATTTATTTGAATATCTTAGGTTTGTTGCTTTATTTTACATGTTACCTACTCCACCTAACACAAGCAATTAATTTGAGCGCTTGGTGCCAAAGAAAATTCTAAAAGGTCTGGATTTTTTTCCTTGGATTCTACAAAGTAGCTACCGTGAGATCGTCTTTAAGCCAAAGCAACATTGCCGCTTCCAAAGCGATTTTTGTTTAATGGTCTGTGTTAGAGCCTTATTACTTGATGGCTTCCAACTGGCAGGGATACCATTCTGAAAAGGGTTTGGTGTTACATGCGTCTTAGAGTGAGTTCCCCATTTCTAATTAAGGCACGCATCTGGAGTTGCCCAAGAAAAATTAGTGCAGTTAGTCTTGAAAGTGTTATATGTGACTTTTTTGCTTCAGACCATCTTTTAAATCACAAGACACATGGTGTCGAATCTGTTTGACTTCTCTTGCCTTCCTCCCCGCAGAGTGTCTCCCTTATTCATGTTGCACTTCGTAGAAGGCTTACCGCAGAATGACCTGCAGCGCTACGCATTTCATTTTGAAGGCTGTCTTTATCAAATAACTTCTGTAATTCAGTACCAAGCAAATAATCATTTTATAACATGGAGTTTAGATGCTGATGGTAAGTGTTTAAAAGTTTTCTTCTATGATAATAGGCATGGAAACTAAAGTGAAGTGGTTTTTTTTTTTTCTTTTTTAATGAAAACTGTGCCTTGGCTCTTTTTCTATCTTTGCCTTTGCCTTTAGTTTTCCTCCTCTTAAAACTTTGGCGGTTCTAGTATGCTTCATTTTTCCTTTTCCTTATATCATTTATTATGGGTATGTATGTGTGCATGTGCAAATTTCTTTTTTAGAGATAGGATGAGATTATATACTATTTATTTACAGTTTGCTTTTTCCCCGCTTAGCATTTTTGCTTTTAGTTTTTAAACATCTGTTTCTAAGACTATTAAACATTAGACTATGTAGCCCTTCTGTTATTGTGAAACAGAATATCTGAAATTGAGTTTGTTTTCCTCACAATGTTCATTTTGTCTTAGATAAGGTAACTGAATCCCCTTAAGATGTTATGTCAGGTCATCGGTAAGGCTCACTTGATATAACCATTTTCTATTGTTAGGACACTTTATATATCTGATATTTTCCTCCTGGAGGTGGTTTGGATGCGTGACACAAACTGTATTATAAAAGTGCTTTGTAAACTAAAACTTGATTAGAAATGTAATTATTACCTTAAAGCTTTACCTTGTTTCAGAATTTAAGCGGAAGTAGTTCTCAATAACATAAGCCAACTTACTTTAATTTCTGTTGCAGATTCATTTCAAGTGCAACATGGTTTCCAACCCTGACAGCATATAAGAATCATTTGGTTAGCTTATTAAAAAAATCTTGGGGATTGGCCCAAATATCAGTATTATTTTAAAAGCTCTTCACATGATTGTGATGTGATTCTAATATGCTCACATGGTAGGGAAACCACATAGGCAAACAATATTCTCAAAGTGTTAATAAGTGTAGAATGAAGGTAGATTGAGATAGTTGAAAAGGGTGTGCCACATAAACCCCATACTTAGTGGTTTTGTTTTGTTCGTATGTATGTGGGGAGGATTAGCAGATTTCTGAGTACATTGTTTTCTTTTTTGGAACTTAACAGAATTCATGCTTCTGTTATGTGACTTGTGCTCTAATTTGTTTCTATCAGCTATTTTAATAAATATTTTAATCTCGTTTTTAGTTTTTCCCCTTGGGGAATTTTTTAAAAATGTTTGATCTTAGACCTTTGCTGTTAGTTATCAGTCACTAATGAAACCTTAAAGTTGGCCAGTCTGTTTAGCAAGTAAATTGGCTTGAAGCAGCAGCTGAGGAAAAGCATTTCTTCTTTTTTGACCTTCCCTATTCCTCAAGATTAGTTCCTTATAGGAAACCGTTGAAATCTGTGGCACAATCCTCTTTTTTCCTCATAATATTAAGATGATGTCTTTCTCCGCATTAAAAAATGAATATGATAGCTATGTCACATTTATGTGAATTAAGGATTTTTTGTGTGTACTTTTAGAAATCTTTTTTCAAAAAGGATAGATGTATATGTATAAGGAAAAGGGAAACTTAGTACATTTTTAATATTTAAAATTGTTTCTCAACATAATTTTATAACATTAAAGAACACTATGTTGGCCGGACGCGGTAGCTCACGCCTGTAATCGTAGCACTCTGGGAGGCCGAGGCGGGTGGATCACTCAAAGTCAGTAGTTCGAGACCAGCCTGAGCAAGAGCGAGACCCAGTCTCTACTAAAAATAGAAAGAAATTAATTGGCTAACTAAAAATATATAGAAAAACTTAGCCAGGCATGGTGGTACATGCCTGTAATTCCAGCTACTCAGGAGGCTGAGGCAGGAGGATCACTTGAGCCCAGGAGTTTGAGATTGCTGTGAGCTAGGCTGACGCCACAGCACTCTAGCCAGGGCAACAGGGTAAGAGTCTGTCTCAAAAAAAAAAAAAATCTATTTCTGTTCCAGAGATATACAGATATAGTAGAAGTATGGATTTTTTTGAAAAGTCAGTAATAAAAGCACAGATAATTGTTGATTCTTTAAAAAGCTATTACTCATATAGAGGCCTGTGGTTAGATTTTCCCAAATTATCACATGGTGATAAGTAAAATATAAACAAATATATCTTCCCTTAGCCCCATACCATCTATCAGCACCTAGCCACCTTCCTTTACTTCTCAGCCATTTGTATTTTTTATTGTGGTAAAATATATAAAATTTACCATTTTAACATTTTTAAGTGTTGGCCTTGTTAGTAACATTGGCCTTGAATACATTCACAATGTTCTGCAAAACCACCACCGTCCAATTCTAGAACTTTTTCATCATCCCAACAGAAACTCTACTCATTAAACAATAACTTTCCACTCTCCCCCACAAACCCTGGTAACACTATTCTACTTTCTGTCTTTATGAGTCTGCCTATTCTAGATCCCTCATATAAGTGATCATACACTATTTGTCCTATTGTGTCTGGCATATTTCACTTAGCATATTTTCAGAGTTCACCCATGGTATAGCATGTAGCAGAATTTCATTCCTTTTTAGGACTGAATAATATTTCATTGTATGTATTATCCATTCATCTGTTAATGGACATTTGGGCTGCTCTTTTAGCTATTGTGAATAATGCTGTTACGAACATTGGTGGACAAATATGTGTTTGAGTCCCTGTTTTCAGTTCTTTTTGGAATACACCTACAAGTGGAATTGCTGGGTCTTATATAGAATTCTGTGTTTAACTTTTGGAGGAACTGCCAGACTGTTTCCATAGTAGCTGCGCCATTTTACATTTCTACCAGCAATGCACAAGGGTTCCAGTTTCTCCACATCCTCGCCAACGTAGTGTTTTCTGGTTCTTTTGAGAATAGCCATCCTAATGGCTGTCTTTTTTTAAAAAAGGAATGATTTAAACAAGATACCTTCTTACTCTTAATTCACAACTTAGTCCACTGCATAGTGACTCCCATTCCTACTACAGCACTGAAATTATGTGGGCAAAAATAACTACCAGTGACCACACTGCTGTAAATAATGGACTCTTCACAGTTCATGTTTTAATACTTAAGTATTTGATACCATAGATTACTCTTAGTCCATAAATTTTTCCTTTGACAACCATTACCTCACTCCCACTTGAAAAATACAAAAACAGAAGCTGAGAGATAAAACAAGAATTAAAACAAATGTTGGTCCTTGAGGTATCAAGCTTCATTTATCTTGATATATGGAGCAGCTTACTCTGTTTTCTGATGTTGTTGGATCAATCAGGTGATACTATATTCTAAATCCCAAAAGTTAAATATACTGCCTTGATTTCTGTGGGTATTATAGGAAAGAGTATGAACTATCCAGAAAACTGCCTTGGTTTTTCAAATTTCTGAATATATTGTAGTTCATAACTTTTGTTATCCAAATAAGGACTTCAGCATTTGGGAGAGAAGGATGGTGACAGGACAAGGCTATGTTTTTTTTTTTTTTTTTTTTTGGAGACAGAGTCTCACTCTGTTGCCTGGGCTAGAGTGCCATGGCGTCAGCCTAGCTCACAGCAACCTCAAACTCCTGGGCTGAAGCAATCCTTCTGCCTCAGCCTCCGAGTAGTTGGGACTACAGGCATGGACCACCATGCCCGGCTAATTTTTTCTATTTTTAGTTGTTTGGCTAATTTCTTTCTATTTATAGATAGTAGAGACGGGGTATCACTCTTGCTCAGTCAGGTCTCGAACTCCTGAGCTCAAGCAATCCTCCTGCCTTGGCCTCCCAAAGTGCTAGGATTACAGGCGTGAACCACCGTGCCCGGCCAGGACAAGGCCATGTATTAGTGTTCTCCTTTGGTGGGGATTCAGTGATGTAGTAGTTAAAGAGGCCAGAAGAACCTAGGATGGTGGTTTTTGAATGTCTAACCTCTTTCACTTTCTTTCCCATCCCTAGGAAGTTGGCTGGAATGTGATGACTTAAAAGGCCCATGTTCTGAAAGGTATGAGAACTTTGAAGTTCCTGCTTCAGAGATACATATTGTTATTTGGGAAAGAAAAACGTCTCAAGAGACGGATAAAGAAGGTGCTTGCCTCTCGCTTGAAGAGACTAGTGATCAACATTCTTTTGATAATGAGAAACCAGTATCTCCAGCTTCGTGTTCTGTGGCTGATGCTGCCTCAGCTGAAACAGCCCCGGTGGCTCACCCTGCAAATACGCCAGTCGCTCCTCATGCTCCTCCACAGGACAAAGCTGTAGCTCTTGGAGATCATTCACTTTCAAGTCCAAAAGATTTGGTTGACAATACTATTTTACCCTTGACACTTGAAGACACTATCCAGCAAACTGCCCCGGTTTTTCAGCTTAACTCTGAAGCTTTCCTGTTAGCAAGTAAACCTGTGGCAGAAAATACAGGAATTGTTAAAACAAATACTTCTCAGTCACAAGAATCATTAATGCCTTCTTCAGTATCAGCCCCATGTAAAGAGAATCTTACCCAAGACCCATTAGTGGATCTGAACTTTCCATCTCAAGTTGTAAATACCAACGTGCAATCCTTACAGCTGAATGTAGAAGATACTGAAAGTACTAAACCTGTGAATAATGCTGACGCCGCTGGCCTTATACAGGGAGTGAAGTCTGTAGAAATGGAGAAGGACGCTCAGTTAAAACAATTCCTTACACCAAAAACTGAGAAATTAAAACCAGAACAAGTTATATCTCAGGTACCTAATTTGAAGAAAAAAGAAACTGTAGCAGACTCTCAAAACATGACAGCTAAGTCCTTACAGAAGCAGTCTGTGAAAGAAAATGAGAAGAAACCATTTGTGGGAAGTTGGGTTAAAGGCTTATTAAGCAGGGGTGCTTCTTTCATGCCGCCTTGTGTTTCAGCTCATAGTAGAAACACTATAACTGATTTGCAACCTTCAGTTAAAGGGGCGAATAATTTTGGTGGCTTTAAAACCAAAGGAATAAAGCAGAAGTCTAGCCGGGTATCCAGGAAAGCTCATAGGGGTTCAAGTAAGCCACCTCCAGCGAGTGAGCCTCCACCAAGTCCTCCGTCGTCGGGTGGCACGGCGGCCGCTCACCCACGCGTGAGTGCCAGCACTGCTTCCGAAGATGTGAAGAAGGGTGACAGTGCCTCACACGGAGCTCAACTCGACCACAGTTCTCATGGAAATGAAAATGGTGTTTCTTCAGCAAACCATGGAGACTCAGTTGAAAGTCAGATTCATAAACTTCGCCTAAAACTTCTTAAAAAACTAAAGGCAAAAAAGAGGAAATTAGCTGCTCTCACGTCTTCCTCCCAAAGTGGAAAACTTCCAAGTGAAAATTTAGAACATGTACCCCAAGGTGGGTCTCCAAATGATTGTGAGTCGATAGAAGACTTGTTAAATGAGCTGCAGTATCAAATTGACCTTGCAGATAAGAAGTCTGGATGCACCACTGTTTCTGGCGTTTCCCCGTACAATAGTCAAACTCATGAAGAAATTTTAGCAGAATTATTGTCTCCTACATCTGTTGTTTCAACAGAGCTCTCAGAAAATGGGGAAGCTGACTTTAGGTATTTGGAAATGGGAGATAACCATATACCAGCTCCAGTACCTGGTGAACTAAATATTTCACAGAACACATATCTGGGACAGGACCGTAATTACTGTAGCCCGAGTAAGAAAACTGCATGTGAAGTTCAGCCAGACTCCCTAACAAACAATGCCTGTGTTAGAACATTAAACTTGGAGAGTCCCATGAAGACTGATATTTTTGATGAGTTTTTTTCCACCTCAGGATTAAATTCTTTAGCAAATGACACGTTAGACTTACCTCATTTTGATGAATATCTGTTTGAGAATTGTTGAATGCTTATTAAATAACTCTTTAATATTTATTATTACTCTTAGAAAAACTGTTTTCAGGTAATGTTTATACACTGGCCTAGTGTTAATAGCCGTGAACAAAATGTAAGCAACTGAAGGTTTTGCCTTTGGTTGTGCCCATGAAGCATGTAATTTGTTTTACAAATTAAAATAATCAGGAATGTGTTCTCCTGTGGGTTTCATTTTGTATTTGTAAGAGAATGGGGATTTCAAAATGTTTTTAAAAGATGAAAAGTGTTATCTCGTTTCTGGCAGTTGTACAGTTGGGTTCATTAAATTGCTAGATTTGAAATTTTGGTTATGTTCAAGAGTTTATATAAACTTAAGTTGTTGCATATGGTATATGAATGCCTGACGGTTTTCCTTAGGGTTGTGTGGTCTTACGTGAGGTCCCAAGCCTGTTTCTTACATAAAGTGCTGTGGAATGTGAACTTCCCCGTACCACCTGTGTCCTTTGTCTCTCCTTACAAAGGATGGCAGGAAACCTTATTAATAGAACTTTGTTTGAGTAATGTTAAGTGATCAATAAATGATCTTTAATAGGAAAAAGTAATCTATTTTCACAATGATGTGCAAAATGTTTACATGTTATCACTATCATGAATAGCATACTTCTCCCCAAGACATTTCTATAACCAAAGTGACATCATTTAACAGTCCTGTATTGGGAGAGTATAATAACCAGTGCTTATAAGGCTTGCTGCATGTTGGGTCCTGTTATATATATGAGACATGTGTTCATTCATGTAAACCTCAACATTCCTGTGAGTGAGATACTTTTTACCACATTTTACAGATAAGAAGGAATGCACAGCTCGTAAGTTGTAGAGCTGAGATTGAGTAGAGTGGTTACTATAGCAATTAGAAGTGCTGAGCTTATCAATATATGTTCTTCCTCTCAGGCTTTATTTAAAGTTTGAATACCCAAACAGCACTACTGCTGTAGTGATTTGAGGTAACAGTAGTTACTGAGGTCTAATGGTGGCAGTCAGTGGTCTTGGGGTAAAATACTTTACCAGGGTCTCAGTACTTTGTAATTTATTTGCCAAATTTACTCCTAAACCTTGTTTTTTTTCCTGTTTGCAAAAGTAGTACAATTTATTGTAAAGAGAAGCTGAGAAAAGGTAGGAAAACACCAAGACTTTTGATCATCCATTTTAATCTTAGTGGTAACTATTGCAAACATTTTCATATTTATGCATATAGACTTTAAATAAAAGTGAGATCCTCTTGTACCTATTTCTATGATCTGTTTTTGTTTAATGAGAATTTTTCTATCATAGTTTTTGACAACTCTGAATAGTTTTACTACATGGTATGGGTAACAATTGTACTAATCTTTTTAGATTCTGAGATGATTTATATTATTTGGCTATTGTTAATTGCACAGCAGCAGTTATCCTGTTTATGAAATTTTGCACAGATCCAAGTTTTATTTTCTAGGTTGGAATTGGTTGGTCAAAGGATGTGAATATTTGATGTTTTAACTGATTGTATGATTGGCTTCCCTGGAGCCTCAACAACACTAGGTTTTTGTTTGTTTTGAGACAGAGTCTCACTCTGTTGCCCTGGCACTGTGGCGTCAGCCTAGCTCACAGCAACCTCAAATTCCTGGGGTCAAGCGATCCTCCTGCCTCAGCCTCCCCGGTAGCTGGGACTACAGGCATGTGCCACCACGCCCAGCTAATTTTTGCTATGTATTTTTAGTTGGCCAGTTAATTTCTTTCTATTTTTATTAGAGATTGGATCTCGCTCTTGCTCAGGCTGACCTTGAGCGATCCACCCTCCTCGGCCTCCCAGAGTACTAGGATTTCAGGTGTGAGCCACTGTGCCTGGCCAGCACTAGTATTAATAGTAACCTTGGTGGGCGGGGACCCTCCTTTGCTGTGTTTATGTTTCCATGATTACTAGTGAGGCTGAACATTTTCTATAACTATCGCTCAGTTGAGTTTCTTTGAAGAATTGCTTGTCCATCTTTGTTTGTTACTAACCCATTCAGCAAGTATTTCTACATTATTACTAAGGGCTAAGCCTTAGAATGGAAGGAAATTCTTGCCCTTTAGAGTTTGCCTTCTAAACAAGGAGATAAATATTTAGTGGTAGGTGATAATAGGAGATACATACAGTTAATTCTTGTAATTTATGGACTATAAAGTTGTCATGAACACTGGATTAGCAAATACTGAAATAATGCTTTTAGGGGATATACAGGATTAGGTTCCTACTAGCCTATGGTCACAACAGTTTTGTCAACCAATCAATATATGACCTTGTATTTTGTTTCTATCTAAAGATGCCTTAATCTATTGATTGATTATATCAACATGGCCAGCAGGCCTAAACGGAGCTTACCTAACACAGTTTTCTCCCTAAGGCACATTCCAGCCTCCTGTGCTTAGGAACACTAGACAGCACTTCAGCACTGCACTTTCACACAGTGAAATAAAAAAGCAAAAATACGAGAAATAAAAAGTTTTCAGTAGGAGAGCTGAAAGAAGGTGAACATGTTCGACCTCAGCTGGGAAGGTGCCCATCAGGTGACTCAAAATTTTCAGTGCGTGTCTACAAATGACCACAACAGTACAAGTATTGATTTTGGGGGGTTGTAAATGTTAGCAAGTAGGTGAATAAACAAATGTGAAATTTGAATAGTGAGGATTAACTGAATCACGTCAGATGGTACTAAACACTATGGAGAAAAACTGTATGAGTGGGAAGAACTATCATAGACTGGGTGGACTTGGAAGCTTTCTTGGAGGTGAGTGACATTTTGAGGGGGCTTTAATGAAGTTAGGGTGTTAGCCATATGACTGGAGGAGGAGCATTCCAGGAAGAGCAAAAGTCATGAGGAACAAGTGTGCTTGGCATATGTCTTAGTCTGTTTCAGCTGCTATAACAAAACAACTTAGACTGGATAAGTAAAATTTAGTTTTCACAGTTCTGGAGGCCAAGAAGTCAAGATCAAGACACCAGCAGATTGGGTGTCTCGTGAAGGCTCACTCTGCTTCATAGGTGGCACCTCTCGCTGTGTCCTCACATGGTGGAACGGGTGGGGGCGCTCCCTTCTACCTCTTAGGGCGCTAATCTCATCCATGAGGGCAGAGTTGTCATGACCTAATCAACGCCCCCCAAGGGCCCCACCTGAACACTATTGCAGTGGGGATTTAGGTTTCAGCATAGGAATTGCGGGTGGGACACACATTCAGACCATAGCATGAGAGAATGGAGAGACTAGTGGGGCTGAGCAGGGCAAGGAGAGTTGAAACATGAGTAAACGGATTGGCAGGAACGAGATCTAGTATGGCTTCCTGGGCCATGTTGAAGACATCTGTGCTGAGAACAGGAAGGCATGGGAAGGATTCAGGCAAGAGGATAACATCTGGTCTGGGTTTTAAAAGGATCACTGAAGTGTAGAGAATGACTAGAATAGGAGTCTATTACACTCTCCTTAGAGTTTAGGTGAGGACCATGAAGGTGTTCAAAAGTAGATTACTGTTGGATTTCAAAGGGAGCTTCAACAGGATGTGTTGATAGGTTGAATGGGTAGAGGACAAGTTAGAGATGACCCCCAGGGTTTTTTGCCTGAGCAAATGGGTTGTGCTGTTTGCTGAGATGGGACAAGACAGCCTTGGGAAGGAAAGAATTTAAAGGGGGTAGGTAAGCAAGTTCAGTTTGGGATGTAAGATTCCTACTAAACGTCCAAGTGGAGATAATTTACTAGAAAATGGATTTGCAACGTTGAAGCCCAGGAGAGGCAGACACTAGAGATACTAGTTTGGGAATTATGAATACATGGATCATATTTAACACCATGATAAAGGGTGGGGTCATTTAGGGAGTTACAATAGCTCTTGGAAACAAAAGGGGCAGTAGGAGGAAAAGCAGATGAGTGTGGTGCTCTGAAAATCAAAGAATGCTTTTTTCTTTTTCCTTTAAGAAGGGATGAGTATTTTCCAGACAACTAATATGGGAATCGACCATTGGCTTTGGCAATAGGGAAGTCCTCGGTAACTCAATGGACAGGTCAGTAGAGCTGGGAGAACAAGTGTGAGCTGCAGAGGGGATGGCGAGGAAGCGGAGCTGTGGACCCGCTCCTTGGAAACGCTTTCTGGTGCCTGGCGAGGGAATGAGAGGCCAAGGTTTTTGTAACTGTTTAAGATGAGAGAGGCCACAGTGTGTTCACGTGTGGACCTGAATGTGCCATGCAGAGAGATGAATGGATGTTGTAGATGAGAGAAGGGGCAGCTGTAGGAGCAAATTTCTCCCGGGACAGGATCCAGTGTGTAAGAGGAGGAGCGTGTGACCTTAAGAGCTAGAAGAATTCATCATTTTAATATAAGGGAAGACAGAGTGCGTAGATACAGATGTTAGATTTGGTGATAGAATGAGAAAAGTTTCTTCTGATTATTTTCTCAGGAAAATAAATAGTAAGAGCATCGGCGGAGGATGGGAGGGGGGAGGAGTTGAAGACTGAGCAAGAGAGGTGTGAGATATGATGGAACAGGGACATGCGGTGGGCTTGCTAGGCTGTGCTGAGAGCCTGCCGGAGGCTTATGGTCAAAACTGTGACTGAGATCAGCTAAGACGGTGGTTTATTTTCTCCAATCATGTTTAGTTGCTCAGTGAGTGGGAAGTTGGATTAAACCAAAGTAGAGGAATTATCAGGCAAACAGGACAGAGATAAGAGGAGAAAAGGAGTTACCGTTTTCTGCAAGGGTAATGATTATAGGGATGGGTAAGGAGGGAGGGAAGTAGGGATGTGAGACAAGTGATGGGTAGTCTGTTAAAAAGTGGTGGAGGTGTTTGTTTTTGTGTGTGGCCTTTCCTCCCTCCCCCACCAGCCTTGCCTCTTGGGGAGCATCTGGGATGGGGTCCCTGGGCCTTCCCCCCTCCCCTCTTTCTGTTGGTTGTCACCCCAGTTGGCTATATTGCTTTTTAGTGTTGCACTGAAGGTTTTTAAATAAAATTTTAAAAAAGGGGGGGGGAGTGGTGGCAGGCAGGGCATGGCAACTCACACCTGTAATCCCAGCACTTTGAGAGGCTGAGATGGGAAGATTGTTAGAGCCCAGGAGTGGGAGGCTGCAGTGAGCTGTGATCATGCCACTGCACTCCAGCCTCGGCCAGACCCCATCTCCAGAAAAAAAAAAAGTGTGTGGGGGGGGCAGATCTCAAGGGATCAGAGGAGGGCTCAAACAATGCCAGAGTGGACTTGCGGTGGAAGTAAGCTGGTTGCAAAGTACTGTGCTTGAAAACGAAGCTTCTGGAGATAGCACAGTTACTGGTGATGACAAAGTCTGAAGCATGAAAGTGCACAGCCAAAGTTAGGTAAGTTCATGAAAAGTGAGGCGACAGAGGAACCGAGGGGCTGGGGTGGTAAACGGATTGTCCCTGTGAAAGGCAAGCTAGGAAGAGGATGCTATGGGAGTTCATGGCAGGAGAGGTCGAACCAATCTGTGGATTAGAGAAAGCATCCCAAAGTAACATGAAACTAATGACTTCCTTCTGAGGAGGCTGCAGAGGCAATCCCTTGTGTGGGCTCCCCTGCCATGCGTAAAGTGTCCCCCCAGTTTGTGGGCTCTGAACGGGCCTGCTCAATGAATGTATCTAGAACTGTCTCTCTGGCCCTCTTAGCTCTGTTAGGTAAAATTTACAGAGGCCATTGGACTAAGGAGCTTAGTCCAAACAGACCAGACCAGAATGGAGTCACTCCTGCAAGGTGCCACATAATCAAACTGAACTTTAAAACAAGCCAGTTTTTCAAAGAAAACCCAAAGAGTCACAGCAACCAATTAGAAGGGGCCCAGTCCACCCGAGCTGGCATGGTAAGGCCCCTCTGCTTGAATTCTGTAAGGAAAGGAACATTGGAATGACTGGTCTGCTTTCATCCCTTGTTTCTGCTTTCTTCAGCCTTTTTCTGCCTATAAAGCTTTTCTGCTCAGCTCATTGGAGCTCTCTTCTACTCCTAGATGATGGGATACTGCCCAATTCACGTATCACTGATAAAAGCCAATTAAATCGTTAAAACTCAATTTGTTGAAATTTTGGTTTTTGACAGCTTTTCAACGCCAAGACTTCCACACCCACCCTTCCTCAGTGGTGCACCCTCAGGGAGCCCCTGAAACAGCAGGGGGGCTGAAAGTCACATTAGGACGCTTTCAAGTCAGCTGTCTATGAAAGACACCGATGACCTTTTGCAAGATAGCAGAGTACTGACGTGACAATAAATCTGGTATCG